TCATCGAACTTGGGTATCTTATCTATATCTAAAAGGGCGATAGTGGGGGGGGGGGGGGGGGGCAAACCGCACTCTTGCCCCCCATTCAATATCACCGCTTGTCATTAGTTTATAAACTGATTGTCTATCAAAAATGTTTCGTAACAGCTTTTCGTGTTTTGCACGAATCGTAATTTGTAATGTTGTCCTTTTTCCAAAAATAAATTATATGATGAATGAATGTCAGAAAAATAAGTGATTTTAAAAAGGGAGCACACTTCAAAACACGTTATCATAGTTTTCTTTCTAACCATTGTCCTTGTGTTTATTAGAAAGGTAGAGGTGTCGTGGTATAGGGGTTCATTCACACAACTCTTAATCCAAGTGTGAGGGTTTGAATCTCAGGAAGGCACTAACGTCCCTTGACAAGACATTAATCCACATTTGCCACTCCCGAGCCAGGCGAAAATGGGTACCTGGTAATTGCTGAGGTAATGATAATTGCAGAGTCCTCTGAGAGTTATCAGGATGAAGCAATGCACCGATATTAGAACCTTTTACCCCAAAATAAACAAATTCGAAGATCGATGAAATCTTTTTCTTTTTATTAATTACACGTTTATCCATGAAAGCCACAACATATCTTTCTTTCTTTTCCTTTCCTTTTCTTTTCTTTTCTCAGTTTAATACTTTCCTTCTTTTTTCTTCCCCCACTTTTGAACGTGGAACTTTTGGAGGGCAGAAGATACCCACGTCCTCCCCCTCCCACCAGTACGCCAGTGCATAATTATGATCCCAGATGATCCCCCTATACCTCCTGGACAACTACACTATTGACCATAACATTATGATAAGTTTTTGTGTACCTCTTTTCATTAAGTTTTTGTGAGAATATGAATAATTTATAGATAAAAACATCTTTTTCGGAACTTAACAGATGAATCTAAAGAGTCATATTGATCAACACATTTTTGAGAAGGATGCAAACTTTATTAACATGCGAGTAAACCTTATCACAATCATAACATGAAAATAGGAAAGACAAATTTATTTTAACTTTATGGGCAACAGTGAATAACCGGACACTAAAAAATACCGTAAGTATCCCTCAGAAACCATCTGGGGGGGGGGGGGGGGTAATATACCACTTCGTATATAAAACCCACTGAAACTAATACTGGATACATGCTCACGAAGGTTATGTAATCATTACTCATACATGCACCTGTGATGCATTCTATTGAACACAGGTGGAAGTAATCTTTTCAAGAGGGCAAACAAAGAATCACTTTAGCTGTGATTATTCCAAAAGGGACAAAGTTGGATTTATCTATGTTTAAAAGATATGTCGATATTTTGGGTCATATGACCCATGTGCTAACGACGAATTGGTCTATTGTCATTGGTTAAAAAAAAAAAAAATTCCCTAGAAGCAATAGATGTCATGTTTTTTATGTGATGGGGCGGGGAAGAAATGTGACTCCTTAGAGCCCCATGAAGGAATAAAAATTGGGCTATTGAATGGTGTACTCACAATGTAAAACGAATATTTGTCACCATGTTCAACTTCAAGCTTGAAGTTCTGGGTCATTTCCAATTAGGGCAAATATAATGTATAAGCACATGCATGCACACTTTAATCAGGCGATCACGATGGTGATTTGTTGTGACCAATTACTTGAAGGTGGGGTTGAGGGTCTCATACTCTCATAATGAAGGTCTGTATGGGAGGGACATTCAATGCCTATACAGGGGCGTCGCTAGACCTTTTTCAGTGGGGGGGGGGGGTGTAGAGGCCAACGATTACCGACAAAACTAGCCACTAATTACCGACAAAATTAAATGTCTAATATCTACAATATAAACCTGGCACCTATGGACTATCTATAGTACTTGCATATGCGCAAAATGGTCATTTTCCTCGACGACATAAATATACGAATTATTTCTTCAATTTAGTCAGCATCATAGCTATCTATTTTAATGCAGGCGCGGAGCTAGGATCTTATTTTAGGGAGGGCGGTAGTGAGCAAGAGAATCACTTAAAGGCGCGCTCATTAGGGGGTGTGGGTGATGCCCCTCCCGCGCAAAGCGCGGAAGCTTTGACGTTTCATTAAATTATGAGAAAAAGCAGACGATTCGGTGTACTGTTCTCGACTCTTAATCCTTGTCTGAATTCAGTTTCTCCCCTCCCGCGCGAAGCGCGGAAGCTTTGACGTTTCAATAAATTATGAGAAAAAAGCAGACGATTCGGTGTACTGTTCTCGACTCTTAATCCTTATCTGCATGAAGCTTCCCCCTCCCGCGCGAAGCGCGGAAGTTTTGACGTTTCATTAAATTATTAGAGAAAGAAGACGATTCGTCGTACCGTTTTCGACTCTTAATAAGCCCTATTCATCTGAATTCAGTTTCCCCCTCTCGCGCGAAGCGCGAAAGCTTTGACGTTTCCTCATATTATTAGGGAAAGATCACGATTCGTTGTACCGTTTTCGACTCTAAATAAGCCCTATTCATCTGAACTCAGTTTCCCCCTCTCGCGCGAAAGCTTTGACGTTTCCTCATATTATTCGAGAAAGAAGACGATTCGTCGTACCGTTTTTGACTCTTAATAAGCCCTATTCATCTGAATTCAGTTTCACCCTCTCGCTCGAAGCGCGAAAGCTTTTGACATTTCCTCATATTATTAGAGAAAGATCATGATTCGTTGTACCGTTTTCGACTCTAAATAAGCCCTATTAATTTTGTCTGAATTCAGTTTTTCCCATCTCGCGCGAAGCGCGGAAGCTTTGACGTTTCATTAAATTATTAGAGAAAGAAGACGATTCGTCGTACCGTTTTCGACTCTTAATAAGCCCTATTCATCTGAATTCAGTTCCCCCCTCTCCCGCGAAAGCTTTGACGTTTCCTCATATTATTAGAGAAAGATCACGATTCGTTGTACCGTTTTCGACTCTAAATAAGCCCTATTCATCTGAATTCAGTTTCCCCCTCTCGCTCGAAGCGCGAAAGCTTTTGACGTTTCCTCATATTATTAGAGAAAGATCATGATTCGTTGTACCGTTTTCGACTCTAAATAAGCCCTATTAATTTTGTCTGAATTCAGTTTTTCCCATCTCGCGCGAAGCGCGGAAGCTTTAACGTTTCCTTAAATTATTAAAGAAAGGAGACGATTCGTTGTACCGATCTCGACTCGTCTAAATGAAATTTTCTCCTTCCGCGCGAAGCGCGGAATTTTTGGCGTTTCATCACAATATAGAGAAAGGAAGACGATTCCTCGTACCGTTTTCGAATCTTATTAAGCCCTATTCATCTGAATTCAGTTTCCCCCTCTCGCGCAAAGCGCGATAGCTTTGACGTTTCCTCAAATTATTAGAGAAAGAACACGATTCGTTGTACCGTTTTCGACTTTTAATAAGCCCTATTTGTCTGAATTCAGTTTCCCATTCTCGCGCGAAGCGCGGAAGCTTTGACGTTTCCTTAAATTATTAGAGAAGGAAGACGATTCGTTGTACCGTTCTCGACTCGTCTTAATGAAGTTTCCCCTTCCGCGCGAAGCGCGGAACTTTTGGCGTTTCATCACAATATAAAGAAAGGAAGACGATTCGTCGTACCGTTGTTGACTCTTAAACCTTGTTTGAATTTTTCTTCCCCGAAAATTTTAAACCTTTGATTTCTTTAGCTATTATTATAGGAAAGTGAAACTTCGAGAAAATACAGGTATTGAAGTTGTAGTCACTCTCGAAGTCGTCACAGCGGATAAGAAGTCACAGTTCGTAGGGAAAAAAACTTGTCGGCCGACCGACAAATTACATCTCACCGACTTCAAACTTCTCCATTGATATAGTACACGAGGATCGAGCAAGAATACCGACACAGCTGACCCGACACAGCAACATATTTACCCGTGTCTTTCTTGCTCCCTCGACGAGACGACTCCACCCAACAACCCCCTTCTCTCTTTTACTCCCACTCCTCCTCTCTCAGACTCTTACCTCCCCTCTCTCTCCTCTCTTTCATCCCCCGTTTCTTTTGTTTCCCTTTCACTCTTTTTTCTTCCTTTTTTCTGTTCTTTCTTTTCCTTATTCCTCTCCTCCCTCTTTTTCTTTTTTCTCTTTCTTTCTTTCTTTTCTTTCCTTTCTTTTCCTTTCTTTCCTTTCTTTTCCTTTCTTTCTTTTCTTTTCCTTTTACCTTTTTCTTTTCTTTACCTTTCCCTCTCTTTTTTCCCTCTCTTTTTTCCCTCTCTTTTTTTCCCTCCCCCTTTTCTCTTTTTCCCGACGGCAGCGCAAGTTTACCGACAATATCCTGACAGGTGGGGGGGGGGGGTGTCGCACCCCCCACACCCCCCTTTGGCGACGCCCCTGTGCCTATATACCTTTCAGAAACATGTTAAAACGGTTTTATTTGCTCAGAGTTACAAGTGATATTACGTTGGTACAATTCTGGAGAGAGATCTGTCTATATTGTTTTGTATAGCGCCTTGGGTAAGATATTAGATAAATGCGCTTTATAAATATTTATTATTATAATTATTATAATAGCCTCTCGCCGACCAAGGTCAGGATATTGACAATAATTTTGCAGGTCCACAATTATTTACAAGGCAAATGATATATATCGTATTTTATTATATTGTGAGTTATTGCTTTTTGCTTCGTTTTTGTGAATTGCATTCGACAGCATTGAAATTGAAGAAAATAAAAATCTTGATATATTTACTTTTAAGCAGGTTTTGCGGGGTGAGTTGGGGGCGGGGGGGGGGGGATACATGTATTTACAAGGCCTAGCTGGGCAGCAGATCGAGGCTTGTCAGTATACGTGCTCACTACATACACCCGACCCTGCATCCCCCGGAGAGAGGGTGACGTGGAGGCCTCCACGTCACCCTCTCTCCCGGTGCACGTGCTGCAAATCGTTGCCACCTAGCTATTACGTAATGCTAAAAATAGATTGCAATGACTCTTTCAAATGAATACAATCAATTTATAATGTACGTCAATCGAGAATGCGGGCATTGACTACTCGCAAGATTGGTTCTATTGAATACGGACGACAAGTTGAAAGTCCACGAAAATGGCGGCCGTCGAATTTATAACAGAGAATGCTGGAACGTTGCTCGTCTTCGTAACCACCTTTACCATAGTCTTAACCTTCCTGAGGAACAGGACCAAGACTGGCTTCAACATCCCCAGAGGACCGACCGCACTTCCTTTCTTCGGAAATCTATTTTCGCTGAAACCCCACGATGAATTTTTGGATTCGCTTGTGGGCTGGAGCAAGGAATATGGTTCCATTTACTCACTGTATCTAGGTCGAAAGCTCATATTGATCGTCAACGGATCTGAAGCTGTGAAAGAACTCACCTGTAAGACTGGTTTGGACTTCGCAGATCGAGGCGAGTCTGTTGCTTTCCTCGCTCTCAACCCCAATCGACTAGGTATTCTTTGACGTTGTTGTTTTTGTTGTTGTTATGTTGTGCTCTTGTTTTTTTTCAGTCACACGGTACTAAAAGAAAATACTGCCATCTGCCATCACTTGGCCCATACCACACATAGCTGCATTACTATCCTGTTCTATTCATTCTCACCCTTTCAATCACCAAAACTCAACCGATTTCACTCAAAATTGGTAGTGACAATTCATGATACCTAAATACATGTACCTGTAAAATTCAATTTTTTCCAACTTACCGATGTTAAAAAGAATATTTTTTTGTATTGTGTGCATAAGTGTGCAATGTTTGTTTTGACTATTCATGTGTGCAGTGATGCCTCTTAGCACGTAGTGCAGCGCTTAAGATCAAATTAGCATCGACTCTCTATGCTTTGCTGGAGTGGAATACCCTACAGTTTCGCCCATAAATTCACGCTGGTCAGGCTTTCAATTGAATCGATCAATCCTCTTAAAAACGTTGATTGCTGTAAATAGCCTGGACTCATGTTTGTTCAGTACCAGACGGTCATTGATTCTATGGCTGCCTAGAGCTAGCTGGCTGTCAACAAATAATACAAGAAAGGGGGAGGGGGTTTGTATTTGTAATTGTTATAACGATGCCCTTTTACCACTCTTGTTATGTGCTGAATTTTGTTTTCTGTGACTGTCCTGAAATTTTATCATGATTCTAATTTTGCCAATCACAAATAATTGAAAGCATATGTGAAATAAAAATATGAACATAATTGATAAATGATAATGACAATGATGATTGTAATGAAATAAATAAGGATGGCTGATCATACATGTAAACTATTAAACCAAAGACTGAAAAGTTGACACAGAAACTTAACCCTAAGCATCATTTGAATAAGAATTTTACTATTGACAATTAATTAATGCTTATAAAATATTGCAAGATAGCATAATTCTGATAATAACATCTTTATGATAATAACATCTTTATTATAGCTTTGGCTTTAAATATATATATATATGCAATTTTATTTGATGACGCATGTACAAATGTACCCCCAGGTCTCTTCGACACACTGGCAGATGAGGAATGGAAACGCCAAAGAAAATTCGCCCACACCACCCTACGTGGCATGGGCTTCGGCAAGGTATCTCTGGAGCCCCTTATCCAAACAGAGGCCAGACATGTTATCAGCTACTTCAAGGTAAGTTCCCGTCTTGTCAATACTTGTGTTTGTATATGCCCGGACCTTTGTGGTAGGGTCCATGGTTTATGATGCAGGGGCTTCCAAATGGGGCATTAACCGTGTAGCTAGGGAGGGGAGGGGGTGGGGGTAGGGTGAGTCGCAGTGCTTCGATATACCAAGAGAAGGTTGAGTTTTTTGAAGAGGTGAAATATAATTTGTGAGCGTTATCATTATATATGCAAACGTGGAAGAAAATCAGATAACAAATGTTCCCTGAAAAGCATGGATCCTTAAATTCCTTAATATTCCAAATGTGGGATCTATAACGTGTAACATCATAACAATCGGGACGGATTATGCCACATGTTCTTGTAGTCCCACATACATCTTTCTGTGTACATTGCTTGTAACTTTACCAAGACTGGGCACATTTCTTATCAGTTTGATGATCCCAGAACCTTGCAGTACAATACGTATATGCTAGATGATCAACCTCTCTGATCGATTCCACAACGTTTCTTTCACAATGCAATCGCATGACCAGAACTCAACTTTATCTTTAAGCATATATGCCCAGGGCTCAAATTAATTTTTTGTCCACGGGGGCTCTTCCAAAATAAAAAGCGCCCCCGTGAGCCTTCTCACGGGGGCTGTTTTAGTAAAGACAGGGGCTCTTTTTTAATAAAAATTTCCATTAAATTGGTGGTACCCATGAAACTCCTAAATTATTTGCTATTTCATCATTATTATTAATAGTCGGCATTATTTCTCTTACAACTTTACAAGTTATAACATGCAGCTAGTGGTCAGATCTCTTCCCTTTGTACATTCGCGTATGAGTATAAACTTGAAAAAAGCATATAAAAATACAAACTATCAAATAAAAATCAATAAAGAAAAGTAACGACAAATTAAAAGACAGCTTTTAACATTGCCTTGTGATGTAAACAACTTTCACTTCGTGTTTGTGATTTGAAAACAAAACCTTAGGCTTTGATTTTTTTTCAGAAATTAAACCGATTATGACATTTCTATAGATGTTGACGATTTTTCTTTGAAAATGTTATATTTATATAAAGTTGACAGCGTAAGACGCAATGTGTAAGTTAGTATAGCTTTAGATTGGATTTTTTGTTTCGTTTCACTCTCTGGTTAAATACATAAATCCATAAACTTATAAAGAAACAAACAAGTTTCAGAACAATAAACCAATCGTCACAATCACTTAACTTTATCTTACATAGACACTGTGTATACGTATGTTATTACAGAAACAAGACCACGTTTAACTACTAGGTGCAAATTACTTCATGTCTTGTATTTTTTCGAACGAGCTGTTTTTTATTGCGTTGATACCACGCTTATCAATGTAGGCAATTTTGCCTTAAAGATGTAGAAAGGATCTGAATCAGTTGATCATGTAGCATGTAAGGATTGGTGTGCACTGCAAGGTTCTGGAGTCATCAAAATCATAATAAATTTGACCGAGTCTTGGTAAAGTAACAATCACTGTACACAGAAAGCTATATATGGGACAACACACATGGTGTCGGGGCTAGTACTACCTTGATTCCTTGTCTTTCTATGCTCATTACTCAGCCAGTATACATTTTCTTCCAAAATTGTTTGGCACATGTCATTTATTTGTAATCTTGAACATTCAGTGTAAAGTTCGTTTGATTCTCTGCGAATTAATTTTCTTTTTTTAACCAGAACTGGAGTTTATCTTTAATGTGCTCGCTGTAAAAATATAAATCTAATCTTCATTTGCATACGCATTACTCAATCTGTAGGAGATATGATCGTCGCAATGTAGTATAGTAAAATTGGAGTTTTCTTTGTTCGTTAGGACTAGTTCTCTTAAACATATACAAGTATTATATCATTTTATGAAAACTCGTGAATGCCAGAGGGAAAAACCGTTGCAATCGACTGAACTTTAGCCTATTTTGTTCTATTTTGTTCAATTTTTTTGTCGCGCCCATATCGCCTTTGTAGTTGATTATAAGCTGAAAAAAGGAAGTACTTGAGCTCGAAAATATATAACTTCACTGTTCTCGCGCGGGGGTGATCTCGAAATAGAAATTTGGCCATTGTACAAGACAAACAAATGTATGCTTTATCACCTTGTGCCAATTGATATCTAGACAAAATATTTGATACTTTTTCACTCCGTCTTATCATTATTATCTTACGTAAATATAGATGTACTTACGAAAGATTGGGAAAGGGGAAAGGGAGAGAGAAGAGAGAAGATATACAAGTAGGAAGAGAACAAACTACATATTTCCATGGTAATAACTTATAATTTACTATGATTAATCTATAACATTACATATATATCCATTCACATTATTTTTTCAAGTCATGTCGTTTAGTGGAAGCACCCGTAGACATGTCGATTGTACCTTACTATATCTAATTTTGACTACATATTATTGATTGGGATTTAAATATGAATCTGAAAGTTTATTCCTCGAATAACCTTATCTGGATTAACATGACTTTGACATAATATAGGTGTCCTCGTGGTGCACTAAAAGTATTGCACATAAACAGATTTCGACCTTCCCCTCTTTCCATATTTTTTTTTCTCGCTTCCGGAAACGCATTTTTTTTTACTTGATCCAAACACAGAGATATCAATTTGTGGAACCACTTTTTATAGACTGTAAATGCTAAACATAGTTATTTACTGATGATTCTGCAAACTGTATTTAATAACATAATATTAATGAACAATCTCAGATTTACATGTGTGTGCACTGCAAATTCGTTGTGTAACGACATTGGATGGTTCACTCCTTAAACACGGGTTGTGTAATAAAACATTACACAACTTTACACAACGAATTTGCAGTGTAAAGTTGTGTAATTTTTATTCACACAACTTAACACAACCCCTGTGTAAGGAGTGAACCACTCAATGTTGTGTAAAGTCGTTACACAACGAATTCGCAGTGTATGATTTCTGTCTACATGTTACTATACAGTGCGTCCCCGAAAAAACGAAACCGAAATTATCGATGTTTTATCATAACTTAATCACATTTATAATTAATAAATGACACATATTTGGAAAGCTTAGATCCTCTTCTTTCATTTGATGTAAATGTAAATGTTAATGATAATGAATGATATTCACAGTATTATTATTATTATTATCATTTATTTAAGTCGACAATTTCCCTCTTAGAATTTACTTATTAATTATTCAGAGCAACCTTATTTACATTCTTTCTTTACTTTTAGTCTTTACCATATCCTTCCAAAACACAGAGGCGGATCTTTTTGCTAAGGGTGGGGGGGGGGGGGGGGCGGGGGTAACCCAAATACGATGTGGAGCATCGTCCACGAGCCGCGTAGTGGCGAGGCGATTTTCGTTGTTGCTATTTTGAACCCCCGTAAAAGATGTTTTCCTGGCATCTACTAACATCTACTAATACTGTGTAGGTCTGAACACATGATAGCATTTTCTATGCACATCACATTTTCACTTGGCAGCCAAGGGGGGGGGGGGGGAGGGGGGTTAAACACCCTAAACCGCCTAGATCCGCCCCTGCAACATCTTTGGTGATCTTCTTCTCAATATTGATTTACTGGTGGAGTTACATTATTTGCTGGCCTGTTAGAATAACCAGATTTCAGAGGATTCACACTTTTCACAACGAAAAACTTCTCCATGTTTCAGTCCTTGCGCGATCGTCTCCAGCTCCAGCAGATATTGGGCGTCAGCGTGCACACCGGTACTACCGGCGCAGTATAGCCACTGCTGAGGGCCGCACTAGCTGCACTGCGAGCTTCCGTTGTTTGTATCGGTAATACTCATAGAGATGGGAGAGAAAGCGCCATCTAAGTTCTATTTCATTGGTTTAAGGTTTGAAAATTGATACTCAATATTGTGTTAAAGTTATATCAGAAAAGACAATCTTAATTTTATAATTCCACGGGGGCGATTTTTAATTTTTCAATCGCCCCCGTGAGCAACCTGACGGGGGCGAATATGGAGCTCACGGGGGCGAATCGCCCATCGCCCCCGTGTATTTTGAGCGCTGAAATAATATGCCTGTTGCTTTCATAACCATTATTATCAGCAAAATTAAAAGAAGAATATGTAACAGTAAAAAATACGATTAAATTAAGAATAATTTTATTACCCTTCAGATATTATTAACAATTTTAAGCCTAATTTCAAACCATATTCTATTTTTTTGCTTGGAGACCTCTTTCAAATTTGATCCTACACCATTCCGTTCAAAACCCCTTGGGGACCTAGTTTAGAGGAATCCCACCAGATGCCAATGCCCTCCTCCTTCATTAACTGTCTTTTTTAACTTGTAAACCAAAATGGAACCCCTCCAAGCGTCACATTTGGTGTCCATATTGATTTTTTAAATTTGCAGTGGGCATCCTACCGAATTCCTACTTCCTCTCCTGTGTATGGAGTGGCAAATGTAGAATAATGTCACCCTTAAGCTTTATTCTCTTTTTAAAATTCCTTCGCCCATTGAAGGTGGTCAAAGATCACAAAGGTCAAATTATGAAATTCTAGGTATTGGCCTTAACCCTAAAAAGACTATTTTGAACATTTAACAAACTCGGGGGGGGGGGGGGGGTAATTTTTTGTACATAATTAACACCCAGACCGTTGACCCGGTGTGCGCAACTTTGGTATCAAAAGATGTGATAGACTCTAAGAAAGAAAGTCATGAAGTGTATCACCATCCATAGGCAGAAAGTCGGATTAGATTTTGAAGTAATGATTTGAAGTCCATCCTTTTCCCAAAATTAATTTAGAGTGGAGGCAAAGGAAAGACGTATTTAATCCAGTTTGTCTTGTTTTATAAAATCAATTAAAGCTTTTAGACCAAAGTGGGATTTGCGATGGATAGTTGTTTTCGGCAAAGGGTATCCGACCAAATTCCCAATCATCTGCTAGGTATGTAGTGGCAAATATAGACTAATGGTATCCCCTTTCTTCACTGTCCTCTATAACCTGTAGACCAAAGTAGGATCCTTGCTGGACCCGAGCGTCGCTTTCAGTGTCACCTCCTCCAACATCATCAACAAACTGGTGTTCAATCGTCGGGTCGACCACGGCTCCGAGAGCGGGGACGAACTGGTGAGGCATGTACGGAACCTGATGGTGAGTGACGAGGGAGCAGTGCTAACTCTCTTCCCTTCCCTCTGGCCCGTGATGAAATACGCTGACTCGAAATGGACGAAGCTCTATGATTCATGGGCACACATCGAGTCCTTTTTCCACCAGGAGATCAAAATTCGAGAGGACAGAATTGATGCCTGTAAAGGTATGAACCTTAGATCTTGCCGATTAATTTAGATACAATTTTTTAATCGACATTATTTTGATGACTCTTCTACTTTTGTTCATATTATTGTAAATACAGTCAAACCTGCCTTAGTGACCACCTGTCTACAAAGACCACCTGTCTACAACAAGCACATTTTTGTTTCCCTTGAAAATGGTTTCTCATTGAAACATGTACTGAAGGAACCTGTCTACAAAGACCACCTGTCTGCAAAGACCACTTTTTGTGTTTCTCTTGGGCGGTCGCTGTAGACAGGTTTGACTGTATTAATATAGGTTTATTTTCCAAACTAGAGTAAAACACATATCAAGAGTTGTTATTTTTTCCTCCGGAATCTTCTTTCTGTCTCTCAATGGGGGTGGGCAGCCGTTGTGGCCCTTAGATCACGATCTGCTTATGTTGATGTACTGTACATATGTGTGTGTTTTTCTTTGATGATATAGATTTTGTCTCATTACATTACAACAAACACATAGCTATACTTAAAAAGTACGACATGGATTTATTCTTGGCTACGTTAAAGCTGGAAACAATTTCTCTTTTGATTTAAAGATTAACTGGTGAACAGACCAACAAAATATTTTGGCCCGCCCCCATTAAGATAGCTTAATATGTGATGTTCCAGCATTAAACCATTACTCATCAACAAAATGTATCCATTGTAGTGAAATTCTTGTTCTTTTTTTTTGTTTTTGAAGGAATGTTTGTGTGTGTGTCTGTTTTTCAATTAAATATTTGATCATTCGTATCGACTAGGCGAGCTGGAGGCCAGCGATTTCTTGACCGCCTACCTTATTCACCGTCGCGCAGACCCAGAGGGCTATTCACTGGAAGCCCTGGACTTCGTTCTGGTTGACCTGTTCTTGGCTGGAACCGACACTGTATCGACTACACTGACATGGGCGGTCCTCTACCTCGTCAGTCACCCAGAGATTCAGCAGAAAATCCATGACGAGATCATAAATGTTAGTCGGTCTACTAGAATTATGTTACAAGTTGGATGATAAGGGATGTGGGCATAATATGGAAAAACAAAACGAACAATGAAAGGAGAAAACAGTTTTGTTGTGCATAATTGGGATACAAAAGGAGGTATCTTTATCACGCAATTGGTTTTGAAATATCCTAATTGGATTTCAAAATGGGGGTACAGACCAGTTGTGTCCTCTAGTCTTTAAACCCTGCATCGTATTGTGGAAGTCTTACCAAAGGTTTTAATATTTGATAAATAATATTGTATTTGGCAAACATTACCTTTCAAGTTCTCTTTATTTCAAGTTGTGTGTATAGGCCTATAATCAATGACAACAATTGCATTAGGCGGTGGGGAAGAGTTAATGGAAGGTTTTCAATAGTATCCTTTTCGATTATTCCACAGATAGATTTTGATTACACAGCATGCTTATGCCCAAGGGGGGGGGGGGAGATGTCGGTCTCGTTTCGCTCTCAGAAGTGAGATCCCGTTCTCATTCTCGATGAGGACTCTGGACGAGGGACTCGATTACAACACTGATGTGATCCACATAAATATTTCATGAAAACAGATGTACCTGTTTCAACTAAATCACAGCACTGCTCTCTCAATCTGTCTTTTTCAACCTCTCCCTCAAGTTTGTCTTCCAATCATGTCTTTTTTTCCTCTCTGACAGGAAATCGGCGACAAAGAGGTCTCAATGTCGCATCGCTCTGGTCTAACCTACACCCAAGCAGCTCTGTTAGAGGTCCAACGCCTGGCCACCGTAGCACCCCTGATACCGCGGGAGTCATCCAGGGATGCCGTTCTTTGCGGACACAAGTTACCCAAAGGAACAACTTTGCTCATCAACCTATGGTGAGAGGAGAGGGCGTGGTCGTGAGTCTCGTGAAAAATAATTAGAACAATAACGGACAAGGCCTATTGGTCGAAGCACACGGGTGCTCAACCAATCAACAGGCCGCTGGCTCCATGCGAGCCGGCTGGGCGGGGATGCGTACGATACGCCGCCATGACACCCCCTGTCCAGCCAAATCAAATGTTTGGCCATTTTGTGGTCCTTTTCTTTTCTTGGTCGGTCCGTTTTCGGTCTGTTGTTGGTCTTGGTTGCCGGTCGTTTGAGTGACTGAGGTATTATGGAAATGTTATGACAAATTAAAACAATTTATTTGAACTGGGAGTGTTTCATAAAGACTAAGATCGACTTTAAGTTGGACTTAAATACGGTAGGCCGTTCATGCCACTGTTTCCTCTCATCATTTAATGGCATTGATCACTCAAGGGACTTACAAATCATGGTCACAAATCCACAGAATCAACATTTTTTAAATAATTCATTATTGAAGGAAAAAATATTATCTAAAGATCATGATGGTGAGAGCAAACAGTGGCATGAACGGTCGGCCATAGTTAAGTCCAACTAAAAGTCGATCTTAGTCTTTGTGAAACACTCCCCAAGGTCCACGAGCACCTCATTCTAATGAACATATGACTTCTTGACAGGTCTCTTCACTATGACCAGGACGTGTGGAAAGATCCTAAGCAGTTCAACCCTGACAGGTTCTTGAATGATGATGGCACCCTTGTCAAACAACTCGAGAGTTTTTTACCCTTCTCTGCTGGTAAGTGTGATTCATTTTTACTCACTCACCAATCTCACAGTCGGGTGGTAAAACACTCATGTGCGGATAGCAATTGAATCCAGTTACTGGGATAATAATAATAATAATAAACCATTTTTAAATAGCGCATAAAACATTACAAAGATGTCCCTATGCGCCTAAAAAATTCCATGGGGCTCCTGGAATTGACACCAATGTAGTCAGTTAATGGTAGTAAATTGTTCAATAAACAGGCATTCCTTTTTTTCTTTCAAGGAAAACGCATGTGCATGGGAGACCAGCTGGCGAAGATGGAGCTGTTTCTTTTCTTCACCATGATCGTTCAGCAGATCAAGTTCTCTCTCCCTCCTGGTGCCGACCCACTCCCGATGGATGGTCTCTTGGAGATTGCCCGCAAGCCTAAACCTTTCCAGGTCCAGGTCTCTGCATGGTCTGACTAGAAAGACAGATGGTTCAGCAGATTAAGTTTTCTCTCCCTCCTGGTGCCGACTCACTCCCAATGGATGGTCTCTTGGATCTAGCCGCAAGCCTAAACCTTTCCAGGTCCAGGTCTCTACATGGTCAGGCTAGAAAGACAGATGGTTCAGCAGATCAACTTCCCTTTCCCCTCTGGTGCCGACCCACTCACAATGGATGGTCCTTGGATCTGGCCCGCAAGCCTAAACCGTTCCAGGTCCAGGTATCTCCATGGTCTGACTAGAAAGATAGATGGTTCAGCAGATCAAGTTCTCTCTCCCTCCTGGTGGCGACCCACTCTCAATGGATGGTCTCTTGGATTTGGCCCGCAAGCCTAAACCTTTTCAGGTCCAGTGGGATGTTGCACACGGATCCCAAGTCGAACTTAACTCTAAGTTAGACTTAAACATTATGGAGAGCCGTTAGTAGCCTTAAATAAAGTAAATGCAAAAGCCAGAATTCAAGTATTTTAAACTTTCCACATCAAGCAAATGAAATCTCCTTGAGAAAAGTTCAACTTATGATCTTTGTAAAACACCACCCAGGTATCTGCATGGTCAAACTAGAAAGACAGATTCATGGGAGCTGTTGAAAGATCTTTGAATTAGAAGCACATCGTCCTCACGGTCTGTTGAGAGCCAGAAGGGCATGAACTCTTATCATTTAGCACAACATGAATGCCGTTCTGAATCTCAACAGAGTGACGTTCTGTATATTTGAATATTGTAACTCGTTTTCTATATATTTTAAATTTTAAATATTGTAACTAGTAGGTAGACATTTTATTTACTGACAATCATTTGTGCTATAGTAGTGAATGGTGGCTTGTTGATTGGTAGATTATAAGTTATTATATGGTAATATATAATGTATGTTATATACCACATACCAAGAAACTTGCAACACAATTGGTCTAAATGACGTCACATGACAAATGATAGACAGCATATCTTGACAGTCATAGTGATAGTGAAAACTAGTGCCTTTTTAGCTGATGCCGCATAGACATTATTTTAGGGACTTATCGATTTGCGTGGACATGGACGTGGACGTGTGACTTCCTTTTAAGTCACTGGCAGTCACGTGTGGCGTCCTTTTAAGGCACTGGCAGTGTCATAAATGAAGTGCAAATCGAAAAGGATACAGATATTGACTGCTTATAGAGGGGCAATATAACATTTAAGATTCTCGAGGGAGTTATATTTTTGTCGAGGGACATTATTCCTCAGCACTACATCCTGACTTATGGATCCTGCTGAGTATCGTCGTAGAAGTAGAAGTAGAAGTATATTTTTCAAAAGCGCGTAGCGCCGAGGAAAAATATAGAATTCCGGGACAAAAATATAACTCCACACAGTGGCGTACGCAGGATTTTTTCAAGGGGGGGGGGGGTTTAAAATCGGATCCAAAATTTCGCAACGACTCAGGAAAATAAGGGGAATAAGCGGAAACTTTTTTTTTTTTTTTTGGTCCCAAAAAAAAATCGCAACGACTCAACCGACCGCTGAATAAGCGGGGGGGGGGGGGGTTACGAGGACACTTTTTTTTGGGTCTCGTTGGGGGGGGGGGGGGGTAAGGTCGCCTTTCTTAGGTCAGCTTTTTTTTTTTTTTTTTTTTTTTTAATAATTAAAAAAAAAACCAAAGGGGGGGGGGGGTTTACACACATAAAAATACCAAAGGGGGGGGGGGGTTAACCCCCCAAACACCCCCCCCCTTGCGTACGCGCCTGACTCCACAAGCGAAATGAAATGTGATATTGTTCCCGAAGGAAATATTCAATATATGTATTATGAAGACCTATATTCAGGCGCGTACGCAGGGAGGGGGGGGGGGGTGGGGGTTGAACCTCCCCCCCCCCCCCAATTTAATTGTTTATGTGTGAGTTTTGGGTAGAAACAAATACCCTTTGTTTTTAAACAATAATTTAAAAAAAAATGTGGTAATGGGTGCCCTAAAAAGCAGACCTTACCCCCCCAAAAAAAAAAAAAAAAAAACCCCGAAATATAGATCTGCCAAATTTCAAAATGTTGAGACACAAACAAAAAACTTAACCCCCCTCCCCCCTCCTCGAAAAAATCCTGCGTATGCGCCTGCCTATATCCGATACAAAACAAGAAGCAGTCTCATTATGTGTGCAATTTTACCGACACAAGAACTACAGAGTACTTGGGCCTGGTCCCGGTCGCGTTATTTTTTTATGCGGCACAGATTGGGGCATGGCGCGTGTTAAACCTATGGGAAGTACGTTCTTTCCCTTCTGAATAGTGTCTGCACGTACGTGAGACTAGTCATGTTCGCTAGCGCATTAGCGCTGCGAAGAAGTTTGTATATCCATCGCGAACTATGTGTTTAGATAACATAACAGCAAAGCTTTCGACAGGATAGATCATGGACTAGCGGTTAGGAAACTTCTCGAAATGGGGGCATCCCCGTCTTTGGTGGCATGGATTTCCAGCTTCCTTTCCAATCGAGAACAATGTGTGCGCTACATGTCACAGCTCTCTGACTGGATGGAGATCTCGGCAGGTGCCCCACAGGGCACTCGACTTGGGCCGCTTATCTTTCTCTGCATTATCAACGACGTGTTCAAGGACAGTGATGTTCAGTGTTGGAAATACGTCGACGACCTCTCCCTGCTTGAATGTAGGAAGGCAACGGATCAACCCAAAATCCAAGAAGTGGTAAATGATCTTGAGAAATGGACCAAAGACAATAGCATGAAACTGAACCCTAGCAAATGTGTCGTCATGAACATTCAGTTCATGAGAAACCAGGCAACCGTCCCAAAACTAAAAATTGGTGACCTGGAAATAAGTGAAGTACAACTAGTTAAGCTTTTGGGTGTGTTTGTACAGGAGGACTTAAAATGGTCATATCATGTCACAGAAATGGTCAAGGCGGCAAGCATGAGGCTACACATGATGCGTATCTTGAAAGGATTTAAAAAAAAATGTGGTAATGGGTGCCCTAAAAAGCAGACCTTACCCCCCCAAAAAAAAAAAAAAAAAACCCCGAAATATAGATCTGCCAAATTTCAAAATGTTGAGACACAAACAAAAAACTTAACCCCCCTCCCCCCTCCTCGAAAAAATCCTGCGTATGCGCCTGCCTATATCCGATACAAAACAAGAAGCAGTCTCATTATGTGTGCAATTTTACCGACACAAGAACTACAGAGTACTTGGGCCTGGTCCCGGTCGCGTTATTTTTTTATGCGGCACAGATTGGGGCATGGCGCGTGTTAAACCTATGGGAAGTACGTTCTTTCCCTTCTGAATAGTGTCTGCACGTACGTGAGACTAGTCATGTTCGCTAGCGCATTAGCGCTGCGAAGAAGTTTGTATATCCATCGCGAACTATGTGTTTAGATAACATAACAGCAAAGCTTTCGACAGGATAGATCATGGACTAGCGGTTAGGAAACTTCTCGAAATGGGGGCATCCCCGTCTTTGGTGGCATGGATTTCCAGCTTCCTTTCCAATCGAGAACAATGTGTGCGCTACATGTCACAGCTCTCTGACTGGATGGAGATCTCGGCAGGTGCCCCACAGGGCACTCGACTTGGGCCGCTTATCTTTCTCTGCATTATCAACGACGTGTTCAAGGACAGTGATGTTCAGTGTTGGAAATACGTCGACGACCTCTCCCTGCTTGAATGTAGGAAGGCAACGGATCAACCCAAAATCCAAGAAGTGGTAAATGATCTTGAGAAATGGACCAAAGACAATAGCATGAAACTGAACCCTAGCAAATGTGTCGTCATGAACATTCAGTTCATGAGAAACCAGGCAACCGTCCCAAAACTAAAAATTGGTGACCTGGAAATAAGTGAAGTACAACTAGTTAAGCTTTTGGGTGTGTTTGTACAGGAGGACTTAAAATGGTCATATCATGTCACAGAAATGGTCAAGGCGGCAAGCATGAGGCTACACATGATGCGTATCTTGAAAGGTTTTCGGCTACCTGTTGAGGATCTGAAAGTTGTGTATTGTTCGTACGTGCGCCCGAAAGTCGAATACTGCGCACCTGTTTGGCATTCAGGTTTGACTAGGGCAGACAAGAAACTGATAGAGAGAATTCAGAAACGAGCGTGTCGCCTCATGCTTGGCCAAAGATACACGAGTTATGATGATGCCCTCAATGTTCTTGACCTTCCCACACTGGAGGAGAGGAGGGAAAGGTTAACAAAGAAATTTGCGAGTAATCTCACAAAGGAAACGTCCCCCTTCTATCACTGGCTCCCCCCTACGCGAGCTTCCCGCACTTCCCGCAACCTGCGCAACGCTAATGACTATTCCGAAATCAAATGCAAAAATGAGCGCTACAGAAAGAGCGCACTCCCCTTCATTGTGAGGTTACTCAATTCAAAACAGGAATAATGTAAAGACATATCGTTTGTTCATAAATGCTGAGCATAAACGTAAATCAAATTGTTATCTTATAGATGTGCTTGAATGAAAACTTATATTGTTTACTGAAGGTTAACTGTTTTGTTTATACGGATTATATTAATTTCAATATTGCATTACCAACCATACGTCCATTTTGTTCTCCATATACATGTACATTGCACCCACATGACAATAGGCCTACTTTGAAGCATGCAAAACAGATAATTTTTCTTAGCACTGGTCATAATTTATTCAACTGTTATATTCTTCCTATGAATTTGCTTTTAAAGTCCTATCATAAAACACTTATTTTTCCACATCCATTACCCACTTCCGTTATCCCACCATCAATATTCTTTGATCTAAGATGTACCTATAATTGTTTGTTATGAATGTACTATTTTTAATGACTTTGTAATACTATTGTATTTTGTGCAGTATCCGTGTGTTAATATTTATGGAAATTGCACTCAATTCAGCCGAAAGGCTGCCATGTACAATGTTTTTTATACCACAATAAATAAATAAATAAAAAATTCCTCTTCGTTTAAGTTAGTTAAGTTTTATTGACTAATTATTGTGATGTTCTCCTTATTGACGTGCTGCCTCCTCTTCAGATTTCCAATTTGATTTTAATTGTTGATGTAATGATTTTCCATGCGGTAGTGGATTACATGTAACACTATTAAAAACAGACCTCTACTACTTATACTGTCTAGTACGCACACGACCAGTATTAGTCTGTAAATCAAGACCCCTTTTTAAAAAAAGCCCCAATCTGTGCCGCATAAAAAAATAACGCGTCCCGGGGGGTGTTTCACAAAGATCCTAAGTAGAACTTAACTCTAAGTTGGACTTAAAAATTATGGACAGCCATTGGAGTCTTTAAATGAAATATATTCAAAAGCAGAAATTCAAGTATTTTAGACTTTTTATTAATTCCACATCCAGAACATGAAATCTCCTTGATGATAGAAAATATGAATGATTTCAATAAACAATGAATGCCTTTCAAAATAACTTTTACAAAATATTTTCAAAGATGCTAATGGCTTTCCATATTTTTTAAGTCCAACTTAGAGATAAGTTCAACTTAGGATCTTTGTGAAACACCCCCCTGGTCCTGGTCCTGGAATAGTATGACTAATAGCTGGATGAATGCTAGCAGACTTAAGTGAATGGTGCTGTAGGTTATTTACAATGTCAAAACCGAAAGCACTCACCTTTAACGAATTTTCTCTGCATTCCATATCGCAGTGTTATCATGGATCATGGACGCTTACTGTTCAATTCACAAACCTCCGCATAAAAATGATCGAAGACAGAAACTTACTCAGTTCAGTTGCTATATTTATTGTTTCTAAAATTGTAAATCCTTTGTGTTCACTGTAGTGTAAGCTTTCAGCACATTCTCAGCTATATTGATGACTTTCTCAGTAGAACGAGAATCTTTTTCATCAATATTATTTAGTCCAATTCTTCCTCACCAAGCGAAGCGAAAACTAATTTGTTGCAATTTCATATTTCGCGCTGCATTCAATTAATGCGTGTATTTGTGTACGAAACGGCGGTGTACGTGTGTAGTGCACTGGACTAGTTGAATTAGTGTGTGCTTGAGGTATTACGTAAATTACGTCATACCTCTGGATATAACGGTTACATTCAGAGCCTGAGGTATGACGTAATTTACGTCATGTTGGAAAATATAACGCTTCCATAGAGATATATTGTTAGTAGTAGCCTATATAGCTCTATGAACGCTATTCATCCTTGTAGCGATGGTCATGTGACAGCATTTTTATCACTGAGTATCGATATAGGAAATTTAATATTCCCTATTGTTATCCTTTATCAACTGCGCATGTACATGTATATAAGGCAGAATATATTAATTTGACTAAATGAATCACTAGTACTATAGGGCTTGCAAATATTATAAAAGTGACTGGAACATCATGTAAAGTGTGTTATTAATTATTATAAGATGGGTTCAAGAATGTAGCCAATGAGAAGCGTCAACAGGGATCACATGTGAGTGCATTATTTTATACCATGTGTGCAATTTCTTTACTTTTTACTCCGCACATTGTAGACCCATCTTATAAAACAAATGATACATGTGTTTAGCTCGTGCATTGGTGATATGCACTGCACTTGGTTAAGTCACAATGAGACAGAGAATAAACTCGAGAAGTCTCGTAATAATTATCCTGACTTCTAACCTGCGTACAGTGGCATATTCACTTATGCACTCGCAAAAATATATTAGGCCTATTGTATAATAAACCTGTAATTGTGAGAATTATAAATATTATGAAAATATTGGCTCAGTAATATAGCAGATAATTATTATAAATTTTTAAAAATAGATTTGCCGATTATTATATCTTATTGATTTTTGAATTACGATTGGAATTGTGTTTTATTATATTAGTGTACCGGTATTTCATGGTGATAAAGTAGTGTGTGAAATTATTCTAGGCCTACTGATTGACTTTGATCTACGTAGAGAAATGTTTTATTGAGTGAAAGAAATTTTGATCGTTCAAGGATATGGCACCTTTGCAACAACTCTTATTTAAAAAAAAGAAGGAAAAGAGCAAAGTAGAGCACGGAAATTGTAACCAAAAAAAATGATAATGAGAGAGATGAGAGAGAGAAAGAAAGAGAGGGGGAGAGATAGAAAGAGAGAGAGAGAGAGATGAGAGAGATGAGAGAGAGAGAGAGAGAGAGAGATGAGAGAGAGAGAGAGAGAGAGCGCACATAACTTGAAGAATTTTTTTTTATCGAAATGAATGTGGGGGAAGAGGGTTTATTCTTTCCAATGATATTATACAGAATAACTATTGGTATGCATGAGGTATATTGTTTCAATTTTTCATTTATCTGTTATCGTACTGGGGACCAAAAATCATGAATGAGAATTCATAGTCTAAAATAAATGAACGAAATCACAATGCAAAATAAAAAAAATACAACGCCTCTCTTATTTTCCAGGTTTACAAACCGATCAGCAATTTAATATATATATGTATTATATACTATACGTAGCCATATCACATTAAAAAAAAGCTTATCGGGCCAGCCCGACAGACATAAATAAACATCTAATACAATTAATATATAATATAAAACAGAATACGCTTTACAATAATGACCTTACTATTATAGGCTATATGAATAGTTTTCTTTGATAAAAGTGCATCATGAACATTTTAGTAACTGTAGTTATATATATTGGAAGCACAATGGTGGAATGAAGTATTTTTTTATTATCCAAAATTAATTCAATAAATATCGTATTTACAATAATAACGTAGAAATTATTACACCCGTCATTGTGCCTGTCCATATTAAAATATTCTTTGTAATTGATACTGGTATAACGTTTACTAGTTATTAAATAGGCCTACTAATGATGAAAATTCGTTGAATCCAGCTCTTTGGGTATTTGCAATTCTTTACATTTTGCTACCTTAAGACCTAACAACCGCTACACTTATAAACCGCCGCGACTCAATTTATTGTGTCGAGCATTCAAGTACGATATAAAGCATTATTCATTTTTAGTATATTTTACTGTTTCTAGTCGCGTTTTACAAAATCAGGCCTTTACAATCGGGATCAAATTATTTCTTAAAGCCATTAAAAGTTACTTAATTTTCCATAATCTTAATTTTGTATACCGATTGATTGTTTGGGAGATAATAATCAGCTTAGCTGCTGATCGACGTAGCATTTACAAAAGTTCGAGTTGAAAGATTGAAAATTGATGATAAAGTAAGTGGATTCCGGCCACTTTGAGATAAAACGATTTTTAGAAATATTACTTTCATTTTCATCATTAGCTAGCACTCGTCCAATCAGGCTTCGTGACTCTAATCTATCTCCTAAGACTATGAAGATACATATTTTGTATTGCACACAGTCGCCATCCATAACTTTCCTAAACCATTTCAGGACAGGATTCATTTTAAGGACTGAATTGATCACATGTTGTTCTTGAAATTGGCAACAAACACTTTCCATTTATCGCTACATTGGTCTAATAAAACGTAATGACTCTAAAAGCAATATCTGTGCGTAGGAATGTAGTCAAAAGCTGTTAAAGGTACTATGTCCCATTTGCAGGCCAAACAAATGAAAAGGTTAAATTCCAACGGCATTTGAAAGATAATACTAATGTAAAACTTCCCTTAAAAAGGGGGGCTTGAAAATGTCTTTAAGTGGGAAAAAAATTACTATTAGTTGTCGGATCGACTTAGGAGCAATAGAGTTTAATTTGGGCCATCACAAGAAGTGGGTTATGGATGGAAACAAATGCTCATGTACCCTTTACAAAAAAAATTTAATGTATGTTATTACCAAAGAAGAAAAAAGGCCAGTCAGTCACTCAATAGTGTATGACAGTGAAGTCTAACAATTAAACGGGTTTCCTTGCATAATTGGAATAATAGGACACTGCTAACGTTTAAAGTTCACAAATAGGACATACATGACATAATAATTCTTGCAAAGTTCTACAGAATTTGATGTTGGCTGCAAAAGGGACATGGTATCTTTGAAATAACAAAGTTCGATCGAAAATAAAGATTTTGACCCTATAAATGTGTTGCCGATGTAAGGCTTTTTGTAGCATATTTTCCTTTTTAAAATTGCAGGCATCAAACGAATGTTAAAAATCCCCAAAACCCCTAAAACGACAAGAAAAGTGTCGGCAGAGAGTGCAAAAAATCTTTTCTACTCCTGCCTCTGATATATTTTGTATGGCTCTTAGTCGTTATAAAAAGTTTCGGGCAAAAACACAATAATAATGATTTACATTGAAGTGTGCATTTGACATATGTCAAATGCACACTTCAATGTAAATCATTTCAGATAAATTTGCAAATCATATTTCAGCTTGTTGGTGATGAATGTGGGAGAGAAAAAAGATTTTGAGGAAACCCGATATAAATGTATTAGTTTTTGCTGACATGTTATGTGACAGTGCCTCAAACTTATTATTTACGTCTTTCTTTATTGCTGTCGAATTCAGTAATAATATTTTTGCATTTTAATCGGGAAACTATAATATGCAAGCTTTGCTTCGTAATAGGTTCCCCATATTTCACATCATTATTTTTTCTGTTACATGTCCATTGCTGTTTTATTATGCGCCCTAACACTATACTTTTTACGAAATAAAAAACAAATGTCGGAAATTCTGTCCCGAAATGATCCTATCAATAGCAGAATATCTCTATAAGCAGGGTGATGGCAAGATCAAGTTAGTTATTGAAGATGACAATGATCATCGCTATCTTCCCACATCGATCACAGACTCATTCGATGTCGACGGTATTAAGTCCTTTTTTTCCTGGTCGTCCTTTCTTTGATTGTAGAAGTACTTGCAGATGAAAATGTTGACGATCAGGACGATGACCACGGCGGCGACGAGGGCCCAGCCAACGATCAGGAGGTATTTGTCGTCAGCGAGGAGCAGCGATTTGCCGGAGGAACCATTCGGAGTATGATTGTCTGTGCAAAAAATGAAAAAGATTCTTTGGTTTAGATACAATTATTTGTACAGTTTTTAAGTACAGGATTTTTTGGAATAGACAGGTATAGAGTTGATAATGCATGAATGGGATATATTTTCTCTGTAGATAGACACCTCGTATCACACAACACATGTTATTTTCCTCCCTCCATTCTTTCGCTTTGTCTTCCATTCTCGACCTTCCTTTTCAATGTATTCCTAATTTCATATCATCCTATCCTTTTTTTTCTCCTTCTCTCCTCTCATTTCTTTCTATCCCCTTTGAAATCTCCATCTCCCATTTTGCTACACACTTTGTCTTCTCTCTCTCCTCTTGCCTCTCCAAACCCCCTCCTCTATCTCTTTCAATTCACCCCTTCTCTTCTCCTTGCCATTTGTCCACTCTGAAATGTATACTGTAGTAAGCCACCCTCTAGCCGATGGGACTTGTTTAAATGTTTGTCAATAAACAGCAGTGGATATAATAACCAAATCCGATGTGTAACTTCTGCTCCAAGCATGTGCCAGCATGGTGGTGGCAGCAGTGGGATACGGACCCACACCATTTAAAATAACTACACTAATTTTGGGAAACGTTTCACGAAACCGACTGAAGTTTGCCAACATCCTAATGAAAAGCGTGTGTTACAATTTTTGCTCCTTTCATTTGAATGTGGGCGAACTTGTTGGCATAAAAAGTGACCAGTTTTTTTGTTCAGGCGCCCTCTCTCTCTCTCTCTCTCTCTCTCTTCTTGCTTCAATTCTTTATCATTTTTAAACCTTTTCCCCTTCATCTTCCCTGGATTGGGTATTAAAGTAGGCCAGTACATGAGCATATCCACCACAAGTCCACAAGCTTGGTATTTATAGTAATCCTTACCTGAATTGCGCATCGGCGATGGTCTATTCGTCCTTTCTCCCTCTGCCTGAACTTCTTCGACATTAAATAAGTCTGGAAAAAGAAACAATATAAAACACATATTGAAAAATAGTGTCAATTAATTATTTCCTACGATATTTCTGTAAAATTATGTTTTATTGCCCTCGTTAATTATTCATGCATGATTTAAAAAAGTGTAATTGTGTGTGTGTGTGTGTGTGTGTGTGTGCGTGTGTGTGTGTGTGTGTGATCCCGCATAGGTCATTACAAGTATGCGTGTGCAAGTGTGCATGTGTGTGTGTTTGTGACAAAGCCAAGATCAAACAGCAACCTTTCCTTGCAATATCAGGATATAACTAGGCCTATAATATCAGGCAAGGTAGGATCTACCAAGTTATGTTCCCTTACAACTTTTATTCATTCACCTCGTGACTGTCAAATAATCCAATATCAGGAGTTATGAGGATGGTTTAGCTGGATTTGTTCTTTCTGGAAAACGTTTATTCTCTTTTGATCTATTCATTCATTTCTTACGACATATATAAATGAAAAAGAAAGTATCTTACTTGTTTGATCAGTCGGTTTCGTTGGTTCTTCCTCGAATCGCGGGTCTGGTACGCAGGCCTTTCTACCCTTGTCAAATATATCGGTTGCTTTAATACAAGATGATGTGCATTGAGTATCTATCATTCTAGAACAATTAGACAGAATGCGAACGCCATCGAGGCACTGGCTACAGAACAGGCAGTGGTAGAAGCTGTAAGGATAAAGAAAGAAAAATGAAAGAGGTAAGATAGATCATTCGAAGGGAGTTCACAATAAATACAAATTGAACACTTCTGTTACTGCATGAATGGTCCGACGGGAAATCCTTGAAGTAGTGTAATACATGCAGTTTCTTTTCAGTCCATACAGTTTTACACTTTTGAAATAAAGTTGTATAGTGCCTTAACCCTCTCGCAATCTAGTAATCATTGTCATTAGTATCTAAACGACAATTTATGTCACTGTGATTTGTATAACTTCTGTTATACAACTATTTTCACTCTGGTCGAGTTTTTATCCCCGTATCTCACCCCACATAAACGTCATATGATCGTTTTAAAAATGTTCATAACCTTTGAGAATGTTTTCCCCGTAAATCCTAGAATTTAAAGATAAACAACAAACAAACGCAAATTTAGAATATATTGTCACACTTCGCACATAATACATGCACATGGGAATATGTGTCAAATGAAGAAACTAATTTAGACCTATCTTATATCACGTTAATACAACGCGTTTGTCCACCAAGGTGAGAAGGAGTTACTTCTAGAGTAGAGAAGTAATTGATTATAGATAGTCAATATACAAGTATGTCTCAAGAACTTGCTACAGACCGTTTTCATCTCTATATTTGGCACATGTTAATATGAGAGGCAGCACAGATGTCAATCACTTTTTTCACGATGGAAGGGGGTCGGGACAAACACATTGATCGGAAGCATATATACTGCATAGGATACACCATCAATTGAAGGGGGGATACAGGCATTTGAAATAGGAGGGGACATTTCCAAAAAATCCCTGACAAGCAATTAAAAAAGGGGCTTCATATTTTGAGATGCCTTTAGGGTTAAATATTCAAAGGGGCACAATAACGTAATTATTGAAGCACAATTTGTTATCTTGTGTACTGAAGGTGTGCCAATTAGGTTCTAAAATAGACCATTCGAGCTTCCCTAAACCCACCACTGGTTAATGCATTCAGTTGGAGGGGGTAACAACCCAACCCCAATCACCCCCATGGAGGCAAACGCGGGAAAGGGAGAAATGTTGGCGCCACTTATTCTTTCATCATACTTCAGCGAATGAAGTCCTGCGAAGCATTATCACGAGTTACTCAAACATTCAGTGCACTATCCTGTTACTTTCCTGATACTACAGAATGTATCAATGACCTGTAAAATAACCAGGTGCAAATGATGTTTAAACCCTTTATCTATAACCTTTTATCGACCAGTGAGGAGAATTTATTTCATTCAAAAATTCTTAAGGGTCTTTACCACAAACCTGTCATACGGTTCCGTCATCATTTTTCCTTCTCTTTTATGGGTTCATTTCCCCCTTTTTCTTTCTTTCTGCCTATCCATCACTGATCACGTTTAAGCCGTGATTCAAAAGGGGGTTGTCGGTCATAGAAAGTGGTAATTTGAAAGAAGTCTTCTAAACATGGGGAAGTATCTGATCGGATATTTTACACTTTTGCTCTTAAGATTTTCTCCTGGATGCAGTGGTCAGTATATTTTATTGTTTTTATTTCATCGTACTTCTTTTTAAAAGAATAAAACCATCCTGCTATCCACAAAAGATATGGACATAATCTGGCGTCAAAGTTACCAAACTGTGTTGAGCACCCCAATAAGTCATCTTTGTCACAGTTACCACACTGTGTTGTACCCTACAATACGTCATCTTCGTCACAGTTAGCATACCACAGTTAATGCAATGTGTTGCACACTCAGATGCACCTCCACCTCATCATGATCATAATCATAATTAGTATACCGTGCTGGATAGTGTCAACTAAAATGGCAATGCATAAAGGTGTGTGAATACAGCATAATTTTATAATTAACACTCTGAAAGTGTTCCAGTCTCCTCTTGACATGCACAGTGCGGCACAATATTTTTTTTGACAGCAACTAACACTTCTTTTTCAGGTGGAGAGGTCCAGGCTGATCATGCTTGTCCAACGGGATGGGACAATCATCTCACCCGATGCTATTGGTACCTTGATACCCAAAAGGTCTCATGGGACAGAGCCAACGAGGACTGCCAAGACATCGGGGGCTACCTCTACGTTCCAAGCAGCGATGTGGAAGGCATCTTCGTGCAGCAAGCTCTCGAGAAACGCGACTCGTTCGCCTCCATTTCGGAGGGGATCTGGATTGGGTGTGACGACAAGAAAGACGAAGGCACGATCATTTGCCATGAAGAGGGTGGTGATACCGGATACAGACGTGAGTAGACCATAATTATATAGTCCGTAAGGTTAAACCCGATCCTGTGTTCAACATAACGTTTAACACAAAGAAAATTAAAACCTCGTATTAATAAGTGCCCTCGGTAAGGCTTTGACCCTCGTTACCAAGTCCGTCGGAGAGGTCTAAACGCTTGTCGGTCTTGCGGGTTGACGGTCAACTCCGTCTTCCCAGATGATTCTTTTAATTTTGTTAATTTACAGACTGGGCGTTCGAAGAACCTAATGACAGCTGGAATTTGATTTGGGGAGAGGACTGCATTGCTGTTTACACCGATAGACCCAACAACTCAGTCGTGCCGCTATGGAACGATAAGGCCTGTAATGATGTCTGGTACCATGCTGTCTGTGAACGTAAGCATAGATTATGCTGTTCCATGTGAACTCTATAGGACGTAGGCCGAGTCGTATAAATTGTGGCTTTGCGAATCGCCGCTTTAAACTCCTCGGAATTTAAGTGTCATTTCTCGCAACGCATATCGTATTTATAAAAAATTGACGATGCACTGGTCTTCGACGTTCAAGAAAATTCCTTTTTATTAATGTAGTTTAGCGTAATAAATGACGTAACAAATGAAATGAAAAAAAAGTTTTCTGTTGTATTTGATGAATCTCTACGGTACAAAAATTAATATGTGTGAAAACTGAACGAGTTTAACTGACACAGTGCTCCCATATTGTGTGGTACTGTCACCGTACGCCACTGTGAGCACAGAGACTTTCTGTGACTCACACCGTAAGACACGGTGGCCTCCCATAGACTGGGCGCATTCCGACACTCCTGTTCTTTCTGATTAATGTGTTAACAGTTAAAGTAAACTGTTATTCTTCGCCATTGGGCCCCCAAATTAATATCGACTACCTTACACACCAAAAACAAAAACATGTTCTTTTCAGGTTCTGCCACCAATCTTTACACCATGACTCGGAAGTTCCAGATGCCTAGCGACACTACCACGGGCGGTACTGCCCGGGTGATCCCTGACTACTGCCTCGTTAAGCAACCAGATCTCAAGCCTAAAGGCACCCAAACCGCGAGCCTGATCAGGTGCGCTGCATCATGCGCAAATGACTCTGAATGTGAAGCCTTTAATTTCTTCCGCAAACTTCAACGCAATTCTACGACAACAAGGAAATTAAAGGGAACTTGTCAGAAGCTGACGTTTACTACAAAGAATATCGAATCGGGGTTTGTCATGACGCCCATAGATGGTTGCAATTACTATGAACTTGATTGCCGGGTGTGAAACCGTCGACCCCAAGGAGATTGAACAGTTCGGAAGTAGCCTAGATACATGTAAATGTTATCCAAAGTCACATGGGTGTAGAAGCTAATCGTCTTGTATTAGTTTGTGACAAATTTGTAATTTAAATGCTCATGAATCACCATAATATTATATTTTGTTTCATATAAATGTTCATGATTTTGATTGCATGTTTGAATACTTAATCTTCAAAAGCATGTTATTTATCTGAGCCATTGACACAGGCCTAGAAAGGAAAATTACAATTTTGAACTTTTGCATTTTCAGGAGCTAAATATATTCAACTACGATCTTTCGATCTCACTATTGACATGTGTCGTTCATTATTAAACTTGACCAGTTTTAGCCGATTTGCAATGGCCCAAATGATGGCAGGGTCATTCGTTCTGCTATTTTGTGAAGCCGAGAGAACCTACCCTTCGAGAAATAATGTTTTAGAGAAATTTGGAATATGCAGGGTGTAACACTTTTGCACTATTCAGTCGCCGAGTACATTCAACTACGATGACTCATGTTGATAGCTAAAGAGCATTTTTCAATCAGATCTCACCATTGACTGGTGTCGTTCTTTTAAACTTTTTATAAACTTGACCAGTTTAAGCCGATGTTTAAAGGCCCAAATGAAGGCAAGGTCATGCGTCATAAGTTTCCATGGAAATCCAGTTGTTCTGTTAGCCGAGAACCCACGCTTTATTAGAGAAAAAAAAAAGTTTCAAATGAATTTGGAATATGCAGGATGTAAAACCTGTGACGTTGGTACTCGTAGTCACTGTCAAGGTAACCTCTTTTCATATTCAGTGGAGCAAGACCACGCAGGCAGTGAACAATAGTTGTCAAGCGTGGGTCATGTTACAGTCAAAATTTTGTTTTAAAAAAAATAGAAACGTGAGAAAGATAAAAGCGAGCGGAAATTATGGGTTCGAAGTTTTGTTCCTTTCGTTTCCCTCGACATGGACATGTTCATTTTCCATTCAAGAACAGAGGAGAGGTGTTCGATGCATAACCATGCAACACCAAGAATAACACAAACACACAAACAAAACTTCTCGGCAACTGCAATTTGATTATTCAAATCACTGATTTTCTTGACTATCTTAAGATATTTGTAATGCAAAGGAAGTAATATACGTTTCAGAATAGAACTTGACTTTTATTTGCTAGTTTAATATACATTTGCTCTCATGTACATTTTATTAAGTCCTATTGCCTTTCAATAAAACTGTCGATAAAAAAATCCCTCTTTTGTCCCATTCTTTTTTTATATTCAGTTAATTGCAGTAACTGTTATGCTTTATAACAAACTACAAAGTTAATGATGATTATTCTAGTACTTCCAAATAAGGCATTCGGTGAATTTGATACGAGTTTGACCCCTATTACGACCTAAGGGTGTGGTTCTATCTTATACTACGGCTTATCATATTAAAGCAAATTCAGCACGTTGTTCTATAGATTCCAGATTGAAAGATCCCAACATGAAGCAGACATAAAGATTTACCTACGTCATCTGACGTCAATGATATCGTGATTATACCTATCCACACAATGAAAGAGCAAACAGAAGTATTTTTTTTTATATTTATGGAATTCTATCAATAGATTGAACCGAAAGAACAGTGTTAAAGTAGTTTTTTGGAACAGTCTATCAATTCAGGTGTTTATCAGTTTATAGTTGCAAATAAGTCACAAAGACAAGAACATTAGTACATTTGCTGTTTGCCGCATTGATGTTTTAATTATTCTTAGCAGGAAAACTAAAAGAAAAAGGGCCCGCTACTACGCCAATATTATCCATGCAATGCATTTTTTGGGGGCCATTTTCAATATTTTTTAATTTGAAACGTCAGCTTAAAAGCTTCGAATTCGTCGTCATAGTTGGATAAATAAAATCGTTTTAGGAACTGAATGTGATTTTATGATTACATCATCGAATTTAGAGTTTACATGTTCATTAATGTTACATTAATTAGTAATAACTGTTATTCAAAACTGAATTGGTTGATTAAAGTACTGCACAGAACTCATCAATATGGCCCATTAAAGGTACACTCGTTTAGCGAGAGATAGAGAGAAAGAGGAAGAGAGAGAGAGAAAGAGAGATCCCATTTGTATCGTTATGTTGTTAATAGATTTAACTGTAATCATCTGCCTCTTTCCTTCTCATTTTGACGATGATGATGATGATGTTGACAACAACTGCGATGATGATAAGAATTATCTCTGTTTTTCAGTTCATTTTTGTCAGCCTCAAATCTTGCGCCAGAAATCGGCTCAAATCATCAAGGATTTCTTTCACATCAGGTACACAAGTCCTACTCCTGGGTTGAGCGTACTTGGCAGAGTAAAACCATCATGCTTATTGACAGTCACAGCTCAACATTTTAAATGTGTCTGAATATGACAGACTATCTCTTATAAGTTTTATATTTGTAAAGCTATTGATAGATCATTACTGCAATCGTTTTCCAGGTCGCGAGTCACCTGAGTTTCAAAGTTCATTCATTCATCTTTTTGTCAGTATCTTATCGCCATTGTTGATACACCGTTCTGACGTAAATCAGTGTATGCGAATCTGCTCTTCGCAAATAGTTTCTTTTTAACTGTATTGGTTGTGCATGGCTTCCATCCTATTTCATATCACTTTTATCTCCAAGTAGATCATCAGACTTGGTGAATAATGTTTTAGGGGAAAATTGAGGGTTCATAATCTACTTTACAAAACTTTGGGCTCGCTTAATTTTCTTTATATCAAAGTTAAAGAATTGACTGTTTTTATGCCTACACAATTGCAGTCTACTCTTAAGGTCCAATTTATAGAAGATCAGTTATCTACTTAGAATATTTTAATGTAACTTGTGCACGATTTGCCCCAAAGTTTGAACTTTCGCATAACAGGAGCAAGGTTTATTATTTCTCCCTTTAGTTTCTTCAATTCCTTGTTCCAGATGTGGACACATTATCTTATCATTGCCAACATTGTGAAAGTGTTGTAAATTTTCCCTGTGGAGACATTGTACTGTGGTTTCGTCTGTGGCCACACAATGTCAATCAAGGTGTCAACACACTGTGAACATTTGTGTTACGTTAACAATTATAATCATTAGTGTATGGAGCACATGCAATGAGTTGGCCATGCACAGTTTGAATTCGTTGTTTTCACTTTGCCAGCATTGTGAAGGTGTTGCAAATAATCTCAGTGTTTACATGTTGATGTTGCACCCCTGGCGTTCCATCTGTGAACACATTGTCACACACAGGAAACGCTTCCATAATGTAAACACAATATGTTACACCCAGTCACACAGTGGCACACACAAGGGGGCCATAAATAGGATCTTACTGTGTACACATTACGCTTTGACAACAGAGAATTTTGAATACTTTTACAGCAATGCCGATGTGAAGACACAGTGTGCACAATATACCCAAATAGTGTAAACTATAGCCAACATCATGTTAATGTTCACAGTGTGTTAAATTCATGTGCAGCAAAAGAATAATCACTGATTTAAGGCAATATTAGAATAAAAAACGAATCTGGCAAAAGATGTTGTATTGCCTTTTAGGTGCCAGCACCTGTCGGTCGGTTCTCCTCTTTTTTTATTCTTTTTTGTTTTCTTCTCTTTTCCCTTCTTTCGCCTGAATGCTTTGATACATATTTTTTGATTTATTTTTAACATTTTTATTCGAAAAAACGGTTTAAAATATTTTTATAAAAAAAACGACCGTAAATTTGAGATTTTAGGGTCGGTCGCAAAGGCAATACACCCGGCTCCCCCCCCCCCCCACTCAGAGGTCGGAATGACCGCATGCGTGTTGCCAAAATGTCCGGTAAAGGGGTACTTTTCGTGCGACAAAGTCCGGCCTGAGAATTGTAAAAAAAAAAGGGGTGTATTTGACTTTTCACCCGGAGATTTCTTTAAAAAGGGGGTGTTTTTTTCCTTTTTTTCTCTCATCTCTTTGGACTCCTGAAAAGTTATTCCGAATTTAGGGGGGTACATTGAGCATTTTTCCTGATTAAGGGGGTCTCCAAAGCAGGAAAAGCGCGCGAAAAGCCCGCGAAAGGGGGGTCCGGAAATGTTGGCAGTCCTCAGATAGGGGGTGCTTTCAAAAAGAGGGAACGAGCATATGCGTACCCTAAATAACACTGAGCGGGGGGGGGGGGGGGGGGGGGGCGGGGCAATACATCAACTTTTTTAAAGCCTTATACATTAACCCATTCAAATCCTCCAAACAGAAATGATGAAGCTTCACTGCAACACATACAAATTCATATCCTTACCTTGACAAATATATTATAAAGATTTTATGCTAGAAACGTGCGATTCTTTAAAGAACAAAACGCACTCTATTTATCAATATCAGGCAACAAAACATTATAACGAAAGGTCTAGCCCTACTACTTACATCTCTCTAATTGTGCCTCTGTGAGTGTGCTTATCTCTGAGGTGATAGTCTCCCAAGCTTTCGAATGGAATCTCGTCTACCGGCACGATCTCGACTCGTTCTCCACACCGGCACTCCGGATACTGTCGATGAGGCTCTCCCAACTTACAGCTGACCACCGATTGGAGGTACTCGGGTACGGGCTCTTTCTCGGCAACACGTGCCCCCTCTCCTCCGGCGGCGATGTGGTCCCCGAACACCTTGGCGAGGACATGATTTCCGCCCAAGCTCAAAAGAACGCAAATTAATACTAAATTGAGGTGTGAGAAACTTGTTTTTGAATTCATGATGAAAGTTGAGGGGATGACCAGTTTCTTTCAGGATAGAAAATGTTTTGCTGTCAAGTATTAACCCTTATGCTAGGCCTACTACTATACTAGGAGTCGCTGTGCAATTGATTTGTAAGGTGTTCTTCCGTTGCGTTCTGATAACTGAAATGAATATAGACTGGCGATTGTTTGCCGGGTTTTCTAAAAGTTTCCGCGTAGCTAACTTTGTTTGACGTCACTTGTGTACAGTTGTAGGTTTGGTGCCAGACTGCTGCAATTTTAAAAAGAAATATTGAGAGAGGGCGGGGTGTGAACAAAATGTACATGAATTTCAAATATGAAATATGAACAAGGAAAGTCCTGACTATTTGGTTTAAAAGGAAATACTGTTTATTAGGCTCATGTCTAACTGAGTTAGAATAAGTTTTGGTAAAAGGAAAAATTCAGAGCAAGACCACGTGATTTTCTTGTCCTCATTTCTAGGCGGTCTGTAAAATTTATCACATCTTATATATTTCCGTTCAAAATATCCTAGAATTACGCTTATACGTATCCAATAGGCAGGAGAAAGTTCAGTTTTCTTATCACAAATAATGACACAGTTTAAGAAGACCAAAAGAGACTGAGTTGGGGGGTAAAAAAAACTAGTGGTTGCCTTCGATTGAGGCTATTTTCGTTATTTTGGGGAGAATGTAATTCACGCTACACTGGACTTACGCACGCAAGTGCTTCCTACTTGTTCTATAAATTCTATTTCAATAATAGAAATATGATTTCATTGACAAGGGGTCTAATTTAGGGGGTGAAACCGGATTCTGAACGAACACTGACGTTCGTTGTCATCACACTTACAATACAGACATACGTCAGAAGAAAAAACAAAATACAAAAACATCTTGAACATTCTTTTTAGTTCTATTTGAAGAAGGTGGGTAGACCAATACATGTGTTTCAAAGCGGTTTTAAAAAACATTACTGTTCCCATGGAAATGTTTGGCGAAATTAGAAGATTTAGTCATCATTGCTTGTTCGCTCTGGTAGGTAGCCATAGTGACAAGCACGTACGTAAAACGGGACCAGTGCTGGGGTCGCTTGGTGTTCGAGGTCTGGAGCCACTCGGCCTACCATGTCCTGCACATCCACTTTGACCATTCGTGATAATCATAATCATAATCATGATAATGAAAGTTCAAGAAAATACTGGATTCAACAAAATGATATCGAAATTTAAAGAAAATACTAAACTTAACAAAATTATGCTCTCTGCCTGGACCAGTACATATTATTTCACACACCTCTAGCTTGGCTGAGCAAATCCTAAACGGAAATCGTCCTTGCATCTAACCAAAAGTCCCCCCCCCCCCCCCGAGTATGAAATTGTGGAATCGCGTAACCGTTTAGGCCAAGTTGCCAAGAGGCCCACGAAACCGACATATCCACGAATATTCAGTTGTTGAAATGCTAACGAATTTGTATTAATGATTATTTAAAACCAAGACGTTTCAGACATACTATATACACTTTCATTTTGTATCTAAATAACACCACAAATACTGTAATTTTATGTAAAGGTGTCATGTTCTAACTGAGTGGATGTCACTGGACTATGGATCACATAGTACACAGTTCCAGTAGACCACTCTCCACCCAGGTGTATTAAATGGGTACCTATATAGTAGGAATTTAGTCCTTGAATGCTTTGAGCGTCTTATGGCAGCTGGGCTAAAGCTAATGCGACGGTCACAAAGGTTCGTACGAACGATAATTTCGTACGAATCTCCTTGGTTTTCCATTGTCTTCCCTAGTTTCCATTGTCTGAAAATCGTTCGTGAGCCGTTCGTAGCAGTTCGTAATGGCATTTGTGACCGAGGCTTAAGGTAAAAATAGCACTTTGAAGGCGCCTTGAACATCCCCTAGGATTGATCGTTCGCAATATATACAGTGCGAGTCGAAAACAAGTTTACATCTAGGAAATTGCTTATTATTTGCAAAATCATCAATGAACAGTAAATTATTATTCTTATGAAAGAGTGTTTTATCCAAAATCATTTGGTATCATTGGTGTGTGGTATGTGTTTATGCTTGGATGAACAGGAGACATTGTTTAAGAGAGAGCAGAAATCGACTTGCGCCAGTAATGCTTATGTTATGTTTGAATAAAACAATTGGGATTTGGGTAGTAATAGTAATTTGGTCTTTGCAGATCCAAATAACATCCCCAACAAAATTAATCATGCCACACATATCAAATATCAAAGAACATCTGTGCACGTGTGTGCGTGTGTGTGTTTGTGTGTGTGTGACTTTGCTTCTGCGAATTTGAGCATATGCAGTGCATTTCATGTATTCAATTCATTCTCTCACTTTAATACTTTTGCGCAAGTCGATTTGCGCAAGTCGAGTTCAATATTTTTAAGGTCGGGTGCTCACAGATAATAAAAGACTCATTTACGTACATGAATGACGTGCAACGTACACAAACATGGCCCTGGGAAGCGGGGGTGCTGGGGGTGCTGCAGCACCCCGGAATTTTCCCAGGGGGGGGGGGGCACAGCACCCCCTGCACATTTTGTTCGTATGATATATTTACTGTATATCATTATATGCTTCGCTTACAAAGTTGTCACACAGCCGACAGCCACAAATGAATATATATAATAATAATATAATAATATAATATATAATAATTATATAATAACCACAACAAAACAAAAAAAACAAAAAAAAATTGTGGTAATTAGTGACCCAAAATGACAGACCTAACCCCCCCCCCCCATACCGATCGACCAAATTTTCAAATTATGAAACACAAAAAAAAAAAAAAAAAATGTCCTCTTACCCCGGGGTAGCTTTTTTTCCCCTTTTTTGCTCCTGTAAAAAGAATATGCAATGCATCTCATTTGATAATTCAATTCATTGTCTCACTTAATACTTTTGCGCAAGTCGAGTTCAATATTTTTAAGGTCGGGTGCTTACAGATAATAAAAGACTCATTTACGTACATGTATGACGTGCAGCGTACACAAACATGATCATCAATAGAAAAATCATGGAATTTGATCGGTAAACACCGCAAAATCTGTTTGGTACAATTATTTATTGTCAATGTGCATTAATCATTGTTAGACTTCAACATTGATTTTTAGCATTTTATTTCGATATTCCAAATACTGATCCGTACTATTTGGTAAAAATGGTCAGCGTCGAAGAAGATCAACAAATAAAGAGAAAATAAGGGAATCAATAAGGCCTAAACAAAAGAGATGTTGTATTGCCCTTTAGGTGCCAGCTCCTGGGTCGGTCGGTCGATTTATTTATTCATTTTTTTTTTGGGTAGCTGTTTTTCCCTCTTTGGGCTGATATTTTTCAGTTTTGAACGGTTTATACCTATTCCTGTATCATTATACTTTTTTTCTTTAAATAAAAAGCCGAACCTAGATAGTCGGTCACAAAGGGCAATACAAGATTTTTTTTTTGGTACTTTTTTCTTTGAACATTAAGGGGAAAAAAAATAAATTAAATATTAGATCAATTATCATGAATATTTATCTCTATCATAGTGCAGTATATACTCTTTGATTTACTTTAAAGTTTTTGTATCCTGGAAATGAATGTTACGCTTTACTTAATTATAGTCCGGTTAGTTCATCTCATAAAAACTGCAACCATCTATTTCAGTCATGACATAACTCTCGGATAAACTCTTCACGTACAGCTTCTGACAAGTCCCCGGTGATCGCGATGACGATGACGACGACGACGATGATAAAGATGAAAGCGGTACATCACCATGACGTAGGAAATTGAAGGCTTCGCATTCTGAATCATGTGCGCAGGCAGCAGCGCATCGGATAAGGCTGGTGACGGTAAAGCCATCGGGTTGTAAATCGGGCAACTCTACCAGGCAGTGGTCGGGGAGCAACGAGGCCGAACCGCCTGAGATATCGCTCAACATCTGGAATCTCCGAGTTACGCTGTAGAGATTGGTACCAGCTCCTGCAAAGGGAACGATGAGCGGTCTGGATAAAGCTTGGAAACATGGCTAACTAATTTTTTATTTTTTTTTATTTTTTTTAATTTTTGCCTAGAAAACTTATAAAAACGTGTAAAATATAAAACTGCAATGGGAATGATCAGAAATTGAATGGAATCCGAGACGAAGTACCGTACGCGGCTACAGCCCACCTGACCGACGGACCACGACAGCATATTGGACAACCCAAGAGCTCAACATGTCGGTCATAATTGTGGGCCTTCTGAAAACTGTTCTGGGGGTTCTTCAGACCAATGTTGTCAGTCTCGTACGTAGGTTGTTGGTCTTGTTTACAGGGGTTCTGCGGAAGTCACATCTACTATACACAACTGGGCACTGTTGGATGAACAAGAGCGCTCATATTTGGCAACCATTTTTATCTATGTTTCATAATCAATAGTTTAGGCCTAGTATTGAGAGAGGGCAAGCACTGAATCCAATGACCGGGGTAATAGTATATTTGTAAAGCGCTGAGAGACATTTGTATTAAGCGCTATATATAAAAATTTAATATTATTATTATTATTTATTATTATGGATATATTTTCGTATCCGGACACCTACCCCCTGGACATCCATCCCCGGGTAACCACCCCAGTCAACTACCCCCTAGGACAACTACCCCCTAGGACACCTACCCCTAGGACAACTACCCCCAAGGACAACCACCCTCTAGGATGACTACCCCCCGAACAGCTACCTCCTAGGACAACTAACCCTAGGACAACCACCACTAGAACAACTAGGCCTACTCCGGACAACTATCCTAGGGGATAGTTGGCTGGGGGTGGTTGTCCGGGGGTAGTCGTCATAGGGGGTACTTGTCCGGGGGTGGTCGTCCTAGAGGGTGGTTGTCCTATGGGGTAGTTAGTTGACTGGGGTGGATATCCTGGGGTTGGATGTCCAGGGGGTAGGTGTCCTAGGGCACGTTTATGCTCAATTTTGAAGGCAGAATGAGCGATTTGAAACACTCATCGTAAACGCTCATCGTAATCGCAGTTCCACGGTGTACTGTTTATGGCTCCTTCAGGCATGATTCTGGCTCAGAGCCAGAATCATGCCTGGAAGAGCCAGAAAAGTGTAGTGCAAACCTGCACTGCGCATGCTACGATGACCCCATTTAAACGCGTTTACAAAATTAATGATTGTGCGTTTATGCTTCCCCGGAATCGCTGGTTTTGCAGAATCGCCGATCCAAAACGCACCTTTTTGTGAGTTTACGATCGGCGATTACGATCGCTGTTTTTCTGTGATTCTACAAAAATGAGAAAGGACGCAACCGTGTTTTTAACTAAACGCGAAACAAATGCCTCATTCTGGCCAGAAAAAGTTGAACATAAACGTACCCCTAGAACCATATATTTTACGTACGTTCACAGACAGCATTGTACAATTCCAGACAACTCTTGTCATTCCAAAGAGAGACGTTAGAACCACTGGCATAGACTGCAAAGCAATCCTCCTCCCCAAGGTTGTTTGGTTCATCTGCAGCCCAATCTGAATCAAAATAATACGATTGGCGTTGATGTCGATGTTTTTATCTGAATACTGAGAAAGCAAGTATTTATGGACCTATAGGACATACACAAAGTATAATTCATTTCGGGGAAACGATCCGCTCAGATGAGATAATGGCTCACCGAATCCCACTCCTATATATCTTTTGGAGGAGAGTGTAAAAACTCAAAAGATTTTTAAAAAAGTTCCTCCGAATAGACGTATTTTTCTGTCGGCCTACAGGTTGCCTCTGCAAACAGCTTTAGGCCATGCAATGGTGAGGGGGGGGGGGGGGGGTGGAATACTGGAATGTGACTTTTACGTACATTATTTCCGTCGGTAGGGCCTATAATAGTAAAAAACGGAGCAAAACGGAGTTATGAATGCAATAATTTGAGATTAAACATGTATCTATTGTATATAATTTATACATAATACATGTCCCATAGTATCCGGCATTTCCCTTCTCGAATAAAAATTCTATTGCATTTTCGTCAAAGGGCACATTATTCTATAAAGTGATGAACAATGTTATGCACTATATACTTACTCCGATATCCATTATCCACGTAGCAGTCGTACCTCCCCTCGACTTCCTTGTCGTGACATCCGATCCAGATCCCCTTGGTGATCGAACCGAATGATTCGCGCTTTCCAAGGGCTTCATGCACGAAGGCGCTCTCCTCATCGTCGCTTGGGATGTAGAGATCGCCCCCGATGTCCTGGCAGGCCTGCGTAGCATCCTCCCACGACGCCCTCTGCGCTGAACCATCAAGGTACCAGTAGCATCGGGTGAGGTGGTTGTCCCATCCCGATGGACAGCCATGATCGGGAATGACGTCACCACCTGAAGGCATCAAAGAGGTTGAGGGATTCAAATGCTCTTTTTCATTTTTGTTATGCCATGATCGACAAAATATCGACAAATTTCTTCTATTTACAACATTCGACTTGAATAATATCATTCAAAACGTAGTGGAAAGTAGTCACAGTAGTATAGTAGTAGGAGTAGGAGTAGTAGAAATAGTAGCAGAAGAGGTATGTATATCAGTACAACTCTCCAAAATTCATTGAAAGAAAGTGGGATTCAAAAGAAACAAACACTGCATCGTCAGTAGGCATGCATGTTTTTATGTTAAAGCAATCCAAAAGCCCCTCGATAGACTCCCCCTCCCGTAACTAGATTGGGGAGGGGGACGTCCACACAACTTATGCCACCACTGAGCAGCTGAAATTATAGCGAGGGTTATATGAACTGCGGTGACATTAATTTGTAGTAACATTTATTCGTTTTAATTTTTAATAGTAGAAGTATTAGAGATATCGGTTTACTCCGAGGCATGACGGCAACACTTAATTTAAAAACAAATTAGAAAAGTTCCAAAATATCGTAATTAGACGTATAAAGAGACGTAAAAGACTGACGCAATAGATGTGTTAAGCGTTGGTCACATCCCATTTGGGGCCGCCACGTCTGCCACGTTTTTCTGAAAACGTAGGGAGGGAGTGGCAAAGGCAGGGAGGGAGTACCGGCAACGCGCGTCACACGCACTGGGGTGAATCGGTAGCCCGAACGCAGCCCGAACGCAGCGAAAGTTCCTCATGCACTAAAAGTGCTACGGTGTGTCTGCGTGCTCCCAAATCCGTACGGAGGCGGTACTCATCACGTACGGATACCCAAATTTTGCCCACGTTTTTGCACGTAGACAGCACGCACTTGCAAGTACGGCGGGATGTGACCACCGCATAACTGAAGTTAAAGTGTTCGCTTAAAAAAAAACAGGGACACTTTTTGTTATAAAGGTTGTCTCGGAAAATGCCACAAACAAGAAACAGTTGGCAATAAAAATGTCTTAAATTTACATACAAACCTTCAACATGATGAAAAGCATCCGTGAGCAGGAGCGTACATATTAAATTTTGGAACAGATATCCCAGCATGTTTTCAACGTGTATGAATGTCAACAAAATGGTTCTTTTTAATGTCCTCAAATTTCGTAGTACTGAGATTCTAAACAACGGGAATGCCCTGAAGGGAAAGGACAACGTAGAGATATAGAGAGGAGAAGAGTAGTAAGAATGTTATTACCTTTACCTTTACCCGAGATTCTGGAAGAATGCTGTGTTCTCAGCAGTCGGGCTTCCAGATCAATTTAAAAAAAATTAAATATAGTCATCGATACATCCGTTTATTTAGCAATTAGTATGTCACGCAAGGAAGTCGATCTGCTATGACGTTGAAGTTTAGAAGCAAGAGTTACAACTTCACACTGTTTATTCTCTGGTAGGAGAGGGTTTTTTTTTGGGGGGGGGGACGTACCCTGGGAATATCCCCTCGGATTTTTTGTAAAAAGTGCAAAAGGAAAAAAAAGGGGTAAGCGGACACTTTTTTTTTTTTTTTTGTTCTCGAAATTTGAAAATTTTACATTTTTTTTTCGTTGGGGGGGGGGGGGGGTAAGGTCACTTTACGTTAGCCGTGGGCATAATTTTTTTTTTTTTTTTTTTTTTTAATTAAAAAAAATACAAAGGGGGGGGTTTAGTTTTTTTTAGGGGGGTTTACACACATAAAAATACCAAAGGGGGGTTTGAACCCCCCAACCCCCCCCCCCTGCGTACGCCCCTGTATCTCCATCATCAGCGATCAACGATAAAAAAAAAAGTATACAGCTTGTTTCTAAAAGCTTTTTTGTTTGCCATATCAACAAACTAAGTGGCATTTTGTCGACGGTGTACTGAAAAGTCAATAAAATGAAGAATTGAAAAGAAGAGGAAAAGAGAACCAATAGCACTCATCACATTTTGATAGTCAACATGCTTGAAACAGTTATCAGCTAAATTGAAAGTTTACCTTCTTTGACAATATCAAGTGAGGAATCAAATATTTGTTCCTAATGCATGAGTAATGTTAATCGAATTTATATCATTCAAGTTTAGTCCACATCATAGTTCTGACAATAGGTTAATTCAACACTTGTGTTGTATTTTTAAAAATTCGATTAAATCCAGTTCAAAGAAAATTTCTTACTTTAATCGTTTTCATGTTACTACAAAACAAAAAATAAAGAACTCAAATTATATTACGAGATATGAATTCGTCACTTGAAGACAAATGAGGTGGTCTGCCTGTTTTGTTTCTCTCAAAGGATCTGGCATTAACGGAAAAATTGAGAGAATGGGAGAGGGAGAGGGAGAGGGAGAGTGAGAGTAAGAGAGAGAGAGAAAGAGAGAGAGAGAGAGAGAGAGAGGTAGAAAGAGAGGGGAGAGAGAGAGAGAGAGAGAGAGAGAGAGAAAGAGATGGCAGTAAATAGCTATAGAGAACGAGAGCGGGAGACGGCAGGCGCGTAGCAAACGCCGCCCCCCCCCCCCAAACAAACAAAAAAAAAAAAAAAAGAGAGAGAGAAAGAGAAGAAAAAAAGGAAGAGGACGTAAATAATAATAGGAAGAAAAGGGGAAAAGGAGTCGAGAACGGTACAACGAATCGTCTTCTTTCTCTAATAATTTAAAGAAACTTCAAAGTTTCCCCGCTTCGCGCGTAAAGAGGGAAATTGAGTTCAAATTAAGGGTTAAGAGTCGAGAACTGAACAACGAATCGTCTTCTTTGTCTAATAATACGTCAAAGCTTCCGCGATTTGCGCGGGAGGGGAGGAAACTAATTTAGATAAGGATTAAGAGTCAAGAACGGTACATCGAGTCGTCTTCTTTCTCTAATAAATTAATGAAACGTCAAAGCTTCCGCGCTATGCGCAAGAGGGGCGGACTGAATTTAGACAAGGATTATGAGTCGAGAAAGGTACAAGATTCGTCTTCTTTCAAAGCTTCCGCGCTTTGCGCGGGAGGGGGGAAACTCCCACCTCCCTGCACCCACCCACCTAGGGAGCGCGCTACACGCGCTCTTTAAGTGATTCGCACGCTACCGCCCCCCCCCCTAGAATGAAATCCTGGCTACGCGCTTGGGAGACGGGGTATAGTCATGTAAACAAATAAACAGGGATAACAGAGGAATGATAATGCATGTACCTGAACGGAGGCAGCAGGTAGTAAGGAAACATGGTAGGGGTGACATAAGAATAGAAGTGGCAAATGGTAGGGCTAGAGAAAAATAAAGGAATATCCGAAGACACGAAATGAGGGAGAACGAGATCCAGAGGCGGGAAAGGGAGAGGTTGAGATAGTAAAAGAGGAAGAGAGAGTTCGAGTTCGAGAGAGACGGGAAGGAGAGAGGGAGAGAAAGAGAACAGAGAAAAGAGAAAAGTTGGGGGAGGGACGGAGGATGGGATGAGAGAGAGAGAGAAAGAGAGAGAGAGAGAGAGTAGTTGTAGTAGAAGTCAGGTAGCAGTAGCTAGTAGTAGTGGTGGAAGTAGTCATTGGCGGATCCAGGGGGAGGCACAGGGGGCACTTGCCCCCCCCCCCCCGGCCCCAAAAATTTGTTAAAACCAGCCCTAAATTCGCCAAAATGTACTGAAAAACAGGAACGTGCCCCCCCCCCGACCCCCCCAAAAAAATAAAAAATTATATTTAATAATTTTTTTTTTTTTAAATACCCCCCCCCCCCCGCTTATTCAGCGACTGGCTAAGTCGTTGCGATTTGTTTTGGGAGACTAAACAAATATATATATATATATATATATATATATATATATATATACATATGTTCTCTTTTCCACCGTGTGCCCCCCCCCCCCCCCCAGTAAGAAATTCCTGGATCCGCCCCTGGTAGTAGTAATAGTAGTAGTAATAGTAGTAGTAGCAGTAATAGTAGTAGTAGTAGTAATAGTAGTAGTAGTAGTAGTAGTAGTAGTAGTAGTAGTAGTAGTGGTAGTAGTAGAAGTAATAGTAGTAGTAATTGTAGTTTTTTTTTGGTCAGAATAAGGTGACAATAGATTACACAATCACATCTTCCTGAACTTTACAACACAACATGAGAAACAAAATTAATAAAAAACAAAATATTAAAATACCTGTGACAAACATGTTCGTATTAGGTTTTATTAAAAAATCAGATCTTTTCCAGCGAGTTTCGTAACAAGAAGTTGTAGTAGTGGTAATTACTTTTCCGTTCCACTAAAATTGAAACTAAATAAATGCATATACTATATAAATAAATATACAAACAAAAAGGAAGCGACAGGATATATCCCCAAAAGAGGGGGGGGGGGAGAAAAACATACCATTGTTTTGAATGTATGAATGCTTTTTATATTTGCCTGTAAGCCGGGGGGAAATGTCTAAGCAATACTAAGGTAAAGTGGGGGAGGGGGCGGGCTTCTGGTTGATGGTGTAGATCCAGTTATAATATAAGAAAACTTTTGTGAAATAGAATATGTGAAATAGAAGAATTTGAGTAGTGTGTGAACAAAAAAAAACAGAACGGTAGCTGGCGCTATCATCAAACAATTATTACGATCGACCTACCTGTGTGCACCGTGTTGTCTGACTTGTGAGTATAACTTGTGCTGATTTATTACTTTTCTCCCGGTAAATCAATGGATATTATTTAGTTTTAGGAAAACATGCATTTTACTGTTTCATCTCGTAGATTCTTCCCTCAAACTTCATCTGCAAACACTGTCTTAAGTTGAGTTTAGGGTGACGTACGTAGGCTACAGTACTACAGTACGAGTGACTGGGACTGTCTGTGTCTTTGACACTGCACTGTGCGTGTAAATCTGCGCTGCCGTGCTGTGCAGTGCCGTGTGTACTGGTGAGTGCATGAGTTGATCAATGCTATGCATGCATGCAGGTGACTGTGCTGTGATACAGTGTGAGCTGTGGGCTGTTTTGAAATGCTTAAAACTTCACTAATAAATAGACTGCAGTGGTAATTCTACAATTTTTGCCCAGATTGGTCGAAACTTCCAGAACATCCTAAAAATGCCCTTATTATTTTATATTAAGACTAAAATGACAACAAAAAAGATAGACTACTTCTAGTTCTAGTCTAGGTCACACATAGGACTCGGAGCATCACTATCCTGGCTGTGTAGTAAAAGCTGTGCTTTTGATTCTCAACATTTCAAACACCACTGTACAAAACTCAACTGATTTCGCTCAAAATCGATACTTTAGTGACAATTGATGACACCTAAATAGCAGTAAAATACATTTTTTTTTAACTTACTGATGTTAAAAAGAATAATTAAAAAATTCAAATTGTAAGTCTAGTGTCAAACTTTGCTTACAGCTGCATCGACATGACTGTGTACAGTCTATGCAATAATGTGTGGTGTGTATATTTGTGTATAGGTATAATAATACCCGCCTCACAGCAAGCATGCAGTGCTAGAGGTCAATACGCATAAGCATTGACTCTCTATGCTTTGCTGGAGTGGTCTAGGTCTAGAGTAGACTAAAAAAAAGTGTTCAAAAATACCTTTATGTCTCTTAAAAATTGAAATGACTTGAAAATGAAACTGAAAGTCTTGAAAGACTTGATGCAGAATACTGAATATATTGTAACTTTAGGGAATTTAATCACCTAAATAAAAGAAATAGAAATAGATTTCTTTCCTACCTTGTCTCGTAGAAACACCTGTTGAGTACAGATACTTGGAACATATATTATATCACAAGTAGTAGTTCAAATATTGCACAGCACCCGTAGAAAGAATATGTAAGACCATGTACAAAGTAATGACGCTTCTTCGCGAGTTAAGTAAAGAAGAAGAAACTTATAATCTCTATAAAGTAATAAGGCCTCAGAACCGAGTAGAGAAACAAGCGAAGAAATAGGACAAGAATTAAGATGAAGCTGAATTAGCTTTGCTGTAGATAGACTCTCTAGAATACGTGTGCTCTATATGAACAGCTCAGGAGAAGTGATGAAAATAGGTGTGGCAAATAAAGCAAGCAAGTGTAATGTCCCTGTACAGTATAAGCTATACCAGTACATTAGGTGGTTGCACATCCCAACCCATAGGGTATGGAATGTGCTTGCCAGAGTAAGTATTTGTGGCACTCTAGTAATGCAACAGGTGTCACTAAAGAAATGAGTGACAATGGAATAAAAGGCTAGACTTCAAGCCACACAATAAAGACAAGACAATAATATTTACAAATGCAAAGTTCTCCAAAGGTCAAGTCACTACAGTAGCTCCCCTCTAGATTTGTTGTCGAATGAAAAGTAGCAACAAATCGATGAGGAAATATAGACCTACATGCATGTTGACTTGAAAATACGAAAATATGGTAATACTGTTGAAACACAGTAAGTTTAATATGCTTCACCCGACTTCGAAAAAATCCACGAACCTCACTGGCCATCTAACTTGACGACCAGACCTGGTCTTTCGAATCTCAGGAGTGTTCTGCTTCAGTGCAGGATCCAATGCTAACGGTGCAGGATCCAGTGCTAACGGAGCAGGATCCAGTGCTAACGGAGCAGGATCCAGTGCTAAGTCTGCGGAGTTGGATTGCCGAGGGACTTGGATAGGTGGATCTTGACCCTTCTTAGATTGAGCAGGGAGATCTTGCTCCATGAAAGCTGGTTTAAGTCTCTCAACACTGACAGTTTCACGTTTACCATTGTAATCAATAGTAAAAAACTTGTCAGAGCGTTGAAGGACTCGAAAAGGCCCCCTGTAAGGAGGTTGAAGGGGCCCCTTGACTGCATCAACCCTCAAAAAGACGTGGGATGAGGAATGCAACTCTGGGTGTACCTGTGTAGGGGTAGCTCGTTGTTTGCGAGTAGGGGTGGGATGTAATTCACGCATCAGTCTCTTCAGTCTGTGGGCGTAATTAGCTGGATCGCCAGCAGAGTCAGTCTGTGAAGGAGACACAAATTGGGCCGGTAGCATGACCGTAGTACCAAAAACGAGTTCTGCTGCGGAACATCCCAGATCAGACTTGATAGCTGTACGTATACCCAGCAATACCAAGGGAAGGACCTCAGTCCAACGGACTGTGTTATGCGCCTTGAGAGAGGCTTTGAGTTGCCTGTGAAAACGCTCAACAAGCCCATTGGCTGCTGGATGGTATGCTGTTGTGCGAATGCGTTTAGTGCCAAGAAGATTAGTGAGAGCAAGGAAGAGTGCTGACTCAAATTGTCTACCCCTGTCTGTAGTAAGAGTAGTTGGAGCACCAAACACCGCTACCCATCTGGCCACAAAAGTACGTGCTACAGTATCCGCAGTGATATCTGGGATAGGTATAGCTTCTGGCCATCTGGTGTAACGATCCACACAAGTAAGAAGGTACGTGTTACCCTCTGAAGTAGGAAGTGGGCCTACAAGATCGATGTGCACATGAGAGAAACGCGCATCAGGTGAGGTAAAAGTGCCAAGTGGAACTTTTGTGTGTTTATGCACCTTGCATCTCTGGCATTCAAGACATGTTCTGGCCCATTTCCTGATATCATGATTAATACCAGGCCAAACGAAACGTTCCGTGATGAGCTTTTGAGTGGCCCTGATCCCAGGATGGGATAGTCCGTGGAGGGCGTCAAAAATAGCTCGTCTGTGTTTGACTGGAACAAGGGGTCTAGCAACACCTGTCGAAACATCACATAGCATGGTAGTAAGAGAACCAGGAAGCGATATAGACTTGAGCTGAAGCGAGGAGTCCTGTACCTCACTATCATCCTCTTGATCTTTCGCAATGGCTGCAAAATCTATGACCGAGGATGAATCAACTCTGTCGATACACAGACGGGAGAGAGCGTCTGCTGCTGTGTTCTCCCTTCCTGCTATGTGGTGTATCTCAGATGTGTATTGGGATATGAAATCAAGCTGGCGGATTTCACGAGGTGAGTGTCGGTCAGGCTTTGAATTCAAAGCATGAGTGAGAGGTTTGTGATCCGTGTAGATGGTAAATGTGCGACCTTCAAGTAGATGTCGAAAGTGCTTTACACCGAGGTAGGCTGCTAACAGTTCCCGACCGAAAGTGCTGTACTTAGTCTCGGCAGGCTGTAGTCTCTTAGAAAAGAAAGCCAACGGTTGCCAAATACCATCTACCAGCTGTTGGATAGTTCCCCCAACTCCCACATCAGATGCATCAACCAACAGGCATAGAGGAACATCGATTCTAGGATGAACTAAAACTGCAGCGTTAGCTAACTGATCTTTAGCCTGATTGAAAGCAGAAAGTTCTTGTTCACCTAGGGTGATTGGTTGGTTCTTCCTCGATCTATTTTTCAACAGATCTGTGAGAGGTTGGAGCACTTCTGCACACCGCGGAATGAACCGTCTGTAGAAATTGATCAGCCCGAGGAACTCTCGTAGTTTGGTAAGTGATGTAGGTATCGGAAAATCACGGATGATCTTCACCTTGTCACTAAGTGGCTGTATTCCTTCCGAGTCAACTTTATGCCCTAGAAAGGACAGTAAAGGTACTCCGAACTGACACTTAGCGGGGTTGAGAATGATTCCATACTCTTGCAGGCGGTCAAAGAGTAAACGGAGATGTGTCTCGTGTTCGTCTTTGGTAGTACTAGCTACAAGAATATCGTCTAGATAAACATAGACGAAAGGAAGACCGCGAGTGACATCATCCATCAATCTTTGGAATGTCTGAGCTGCATTGCGAAGGCCAAACGGCATCCTAACAAACTCGAATAATCCAAAAGGGGTGGTTATAGCTGTCTTGTGGATATCGCTAGGCTCGACTGGGATCTGATGATATGCCCTGATGAGATCAATCTTGGAAAAGATCGTCTTGCCACTAAGTGACGCAGAGAAATCTTGCAAATGAGGAATAGGGTATCTATCAGGAATAGTACGAGCATTAAGCATGCGATAATCTCCACAAGGTCGCCAGTCCCCTGGTGTCTTCTTCGGAACCATGTGCAAGGGACTTGACCAGTTGCTATCAGATTGTCTGATAATGCCGAGTTCAAGCATGTGTTCAAACTCTGCCTTGGCAATCTGCTGCCGATCTGGAACAAGCCGACGAGGGCGAGCTGAAGCAGGTGGGCCTCGAGTTTGGATATGGTGGGTGGTTGTATGCTTGACTTCTGAGTGCTTGTACACTGGCCGGGTGATGTCAGGATACTCACGAAGAAGGGAGTGGAAACGCTCCGAAGTATCTTGCTTGACATACACCGGGCTAATGATGCCTGTGTATGTACCGACTCCCTGTACTGTAAGAGTGGTGGTGGTGTCTATCAGCCGTCGATGTTTGATGTCGACTAATAGTCCATAGTTATCAAGGAAATCGGCTCCCAAGATAGGTGTAGGTATGTCCGTGACAACAAAAATCCAACGAAAAACTCGCCGCAACCCAAGATCAAGAGTGAAAGATCTCTGGCCAAAAGTCTTAATGGGTGACTTGTTAACAGCTTGAAGTTGGATATTTGTTGCACTTACCATTGCCGATTTTCCTAACATGGAATGAGGGAAAATACTAACTTCGGCCCCAGTATCAACAAGAAAACGCGTGCCTGATTGTTTATCATGAACAAAGAAAAGGCGACTGGGTTGAATGGTGCCAAGTGAATTAGTCGCCGCTATTCCTTGGCGGGCCCGTTTCCCTGGACATATCCAGGGTGGCTTTGTCCTGCTGAGTATGAACAAGGACTTATGCACTTCTGGGCTCGTTTGCCATGCTTCCAGTGGTACCAACATTCAGCCCCAGCATGTTGTTGATGCCGACTCGGGCTACGGGAAGCTGATTGGCGAGGGCCGGAATTCTTCGGGCCTCGCTGTCGACTGCGACTTCTGCGGTCCTCCTGTATAGAACAAGTCAAGGCTTGCACCTGAGCAGCCAGTTGAGCAACCTGGGTAGAAAGTCGATGTACTTCACCAGAGTCATTGGAAGGAGCGCAAGCGTAAGTCTGCGCTGGCACTTCTTTAGGAAAGACATGAGAAATAGTAGGCGGACCAGCAACTTCAACAATTTTGTCGGCTAATGCCGCTAGCGCAACCAAGCTGACATCATCGCTTGTGGAAGCGAGAATCAACTGTACATTGGTTGGCAGGCGTTGCAAAAATAATTGCTTAAGTATACTAGTTTCCAAAGTATTAGAGCCTAATAATTGTTGCATTCTCCTAAGGAGTTGGGAGGGCGACCTATCGCCTAACTCTTCACTCGTCAGCAATTTGTTCAGACGCTTTTGCTCAGAGACAGAAGTTCGCTTAACCAGTGCTGCTTTTAGTATCTTGTACGGCTCTGTTTGGGGAGGGGCAATTAAAATATCGCGCACCTCTAGAGCTACCTCTGGTTGTAATGAGGCGACAACATAAGCAAACTTTGTAGACTCAACTGAGACACCTCTAGTTTGAAACTGAGCCTCAACCTGAGCAAACCAAATATCAGGATCATGAGCCCAAAATGGTGGAAGCTTTAAACTAACATATGAGACTTGAGGGGATGGCTCAGAAGCCTCACTAGGTAATACATTGCTATCAGTATCAGGCATGATAATGACGATGACAAGGTAGATTAGATCAACAGAAGAAAAAAAATCTGGATCACGTCGGGGTCACCAGTTTAGGGAATTTAATCACCTAAATAAATGAAATAGAAATAGATTTCTTTCCTACCTTGTCTCGTAGAAACACCTGTTGAGTACAGATACTTGGAACATATATTATATCACAAGTAGTAGTTCAAATATTGCACAGCACCCGTAGAAAGAATATGTAAGACCATGTACAAAGTAATGACGCTTCTTCGCGAGTTAAGTAAAGAAGAAGAAACTTATAATCTCTATAAAGTAATAAGGCCTCAGAACCGAGTAGAGAAACAAGCGAAGAAATAGGACAAGAATTAAGATGAAGCTGAATTAGCTTTGCTGTAGATAGACTCTCTAGAATACGTGTGCTCTATATGAACAGCTCAGGAGAAGTGATGAAAATAGGTGTGGCAAATAAAGCAAGCAAGTGTAATGTCCCTGTACAGTATAAGCTATACCAGTACATTAGGTGGTTGCACATCCCAACCCATAGGGTATGGAATGTGCTTGCCAGAGTAAGTATTTGTGGCACTCTAGTAATGCAACAGGTGTCAGTAAAGAAATGAGTGACAATGGAATAAAAGGCTAGACTTCAAGCCACACAATAAAGACAAGACAATAATATTTACAAATGCAAAGTTCTCCAAAGGTCAAGTCACTACATAACCATCAGGGGCACTGGTCTGAGAATGAGGATCGTCCACATGAACAAGAATAAATGCGTCCTAAAAAATAAGGATGTTTTTTGTCTTCGACACTCTGCAGGTTTCGGGTTCCCTATCCACGCTCTGGCGATGCTTAAAAAGGATTCCGCATAATAAAATACCCCCAGCTCACCGTCTACCTTTATGGGTTGTCCGTTTTCCCGTGGGTTTATCGCTCATACAAAGTCAATGTAAAATGCATCAAGAAAATCATTGCGGTACCCGTTTTTTGCATCGCTAACGCGCAGATCTGAAATCAGAATCGTCAGCAAAAAATCCAGACGATCCTTAAGGCTTAATTTTGCGGACGCGTCTCTTCGCGTTTACGAAGACGATCCTCGTTTGTACGGACAATCCTTATTCTCGGACCAGCGCTCATACTGATAAACTAGTCCCACTCAAGCTTCCAAGGTCAACATTGAAGCTCATTTTGGCTAATTATAGGCATTTTTTCAGAACCATGTAGTTCTTTTTCTAACTTTTTCTGTGTACGTACGGCGGCCGATAAGTGGATATCGCGATACCGCCACTGCTCGGCCGCCATACGTAATTGTAGAACTAGCCAACCCCTCATCATACACGTTACAGTTACCCCCGTTACACTCTGCATCCAACGCCTTTGTCCATCAAGATTTAAATTCAAATTTGATTTCTTTTTTTGCTTTGTAGATATCTTGTAAGTGAACCTAGGTCTACTACCTTCCTGCACCATGGGGGAAGAAATCAAGATAAACCTTGGCTCCAGGGTCTTTGTGGCCAACCTTCCCACAGAACAGATGGACAAAGAGGAGCTCATAAAGCGATTTGAAAAATATGGACGCATTTCCAGTAAGTAATTAATTACATTCTACGGGCAATGTTGTAGTTCTCAAACACTGTCAGTCATTTAACGTGCCTATTTGCTGCGTACAGTGCATAAACAAATTAACCCAAGCAAACGTAAAAGTCTGTTCAAACTCTGCATGAGAGAGAAATTGCATGTAAGAAGTAAATACAAGTAAACACAGGGAGTGGGGGGGGGGGGGTGGGTTCTAGAATACCTGTACATATTTGTTAAATGAATGAAATATATTGGTGGGGGGGGGGGGATAAGTTTGTTAAAAGATTTTTTTTTTAAGAATTAAAGGTAATACAAAGTTTTGGAATGGGGTCATGAATTTGGTTCAAATGAACATATTGGAAGCATATGCGATCCTACAATACTCAATGATCGTTGTCGCGGTTGAAATTGAGTCTAAAGTTATGAAATTGTAAATAATAAACTCTTTATGTTGTATAGCTCTCTCTCAAGGTCAAGATATTAATTAAGCTATAAAACAACTTTTCTTGACTAAAATCGACCGATTATCTATTCCCGTTTGTAACTACATTTCTGAGATTTTCATGGTCACAGCTAAACAATGTACGGCCGTAGGTGCTATTTGAAATTTATCAAAATTTACTGGGAGCACCGTTAAATTTCTATATTAAATTTTTCTCAAAAGCAGAAGTGTTTTAGGGGCTAAATTTATTAGTGCTTATAATACATACACAGGGGCATCCTTATCAAAAATGTAAAGAATCACTATCCACCCAATTTTCAAAATTTCCCAAAACTTTGTATTACCTTTAAGTCACTCCAATGTATTTGCAATTATGAACATTGGTGTATGAGGATTCATTGTCATTTTTTTTCCTGGGGACCTAGTGACTAGTTATTAATGAATGAACCACAATACTTGGAATCCAGTCTGCAATGTATGTGTTGCTATGTCAGGCAAATGTTCAGGTTGTCAAGAACAACCTTCTTCTTTTTTTAAAGTATGCATAAATTTGAATATGTTAGTGAACCGGTCTACTGGAACCATGCTCAGTCTACCTTACTTGCTCTACCTTGTTCATCCATATTCTAGATACATTCATGAAGAAAGGCTTTGCCTTTATCCAGTTCGGCTCACCACAAGAAGCACAGGATGCTATCCGTACTGAATCGGGACAGATACTCTACGGCAAGAAGATAGGTGAGATGCACTAATGCATGCTAACATCAAATTCTGTAGAACTTTGCAGGAGTTATGAATATGTCATGTATGTCTATATCTGTGAAATATAAACATTGGCAGTGTCCTTGGATTCAAATTATGCAAGAAGACCCTTTGTCTACATCAAGAGCAGAAGGGCTCAAATGGATGCATGGCCAAAGGTTTTCCTTATTGTAACACTCATCTTCAAGTGTTGACCTTTCTTCAACTATATTGAAACAACACATTACAGCCTGAACACCATTCAAATTGTTAACATTGATGGATTACATTTCTCTGTATTTAATTTGAAGAAAAAAAATTGTTTATCCTTTAGACCAAATTTGTGTTGGCATCTTTGTGTCATTGCTATTTCAATTGGATGGTTTCATGATCTTCTTCGCAGAATGCAGCCTTGCTAAGCGGAAGCCAGGGGAAGACAAGCCCGGAGGAGAAAGAGGAGGAGGAGGGCCCGCAGGAAATAACGTCTCAAACTCCACAGCTGCAATACTGGCCAGGGAGAAAGGTGACCAAGATAGGTACCCCTCTTCTGGCGGACCTCAGGGTGGTTATGATGATTTCTACCGCGATAAATACAGGTAAGATAAAAATGCGTGGCCGGGCTACCTCAATTTACATGGGCCTTGAAAGCTTTGCATGCAATTTTGTAGTAACTAAGGCAATAAATTACGGTGTTCTAGATTTAGGGTAAATCAAGGTGGACACGTTCTCAATTCTGATAGTTGACCAAGGAGATGATGTGACGCATGCGCAGTACCTTAAAATGACGTCTCACGTAGCAGTCCACTATGTCGACGTAGAAATCTAAAAGTCTCTAATTACATTGTGATGCTTTACCTGTAAAACCTGGCTTCATGTATGAAAGCCATATGAATAATAATAATTGAGTCTTGTATAGTGCTCATGTCTGACACTTTGCCCGACGCTCCATTATTATTACCCTGGCTTCAGGACGCCTGTGGTTATAGCTCGAGCATTTCAAAAAAACTAATTCCTGCCAGTTATCCATTTACCTCACCAATTGTCGATTAATGTCTTGCCAAAAGACATTTGTGCTGCGACAGGGATTCGAACCCCATACCTTGCGATTCATAGCCCCTGAGCCTTATCCACTGTGACTGGACCACACCACCACTTCACAACTTATTTTTTTGCTTGTCTTCTTATCATTATTTCCATCTAATGTGCAATAGTATAATCAATGATTAAGTCCTATGAGTCATTCATGTTTATTTGGAACAATACATGTATGATTTCCAATATGCCAAACATTTTCTAATCTCTACCCTACTTTCTAAATCATTACATTCTACTTCAGGGACGGTCCCCAAGGCAGGGATAGTATGCTGGGCAGGGACGGTCCCCACGGCAGGGACGGTCCCAATGGTAGGGACGGTCCTCATGGTAGGGACGGTATGCCAGGCAGGGACAGTATGCTAGGCAGGGACGGTCCCAATGGCAGGGACGGTCCTCACGGCAGGGACGGTATGCCAGGCCGGGACTTTCCCCCACGAATGAGAGAGCGTTCTCCAATCAGGGACAGAGAGCGAGACCGCTACGATGACAGGTACAGAGACAGCTACTTCAGGGACGACCCAGCACGGTAAGTAAAAACATTCCTCTCTTGATTTAAAAAAATCCATTATTCAGTTTTCAATGTTTTTTAAAACCTTTAGATTGTCGAACATTATTTATCAATGAATTAATGATTTGGAATTTACTTTCACTGTTTGTGGGTGAGCTTTGAATAATGAATGTATCAGGCCTTAAATTTCAATATTTTTAGGGCAAGGCCACTTTTCTGTAGGGCACATTCCTATGTTACAGCACAAATAAAGGAATTGGAAAAAAAAAAAAAATCTCCAAGGCCAATGAGACGGACATTGAGGGCAATCAAAGGGGCAGCCACGGCCATGGCCTTGATGGCCTTGGATTAATTTAAGCCCTGATGTATTTTTATCAAGGTGGTAACCAATGATCTTCTCACTCCTGCATGCATCAAGAATGGGAGACTGTCAACAACAGTTAATAAGAAGCCTGGTGTTAGAGCAAAGGTTTCACTTTTTTCATCATTCTTGTACACTGGTATGCAGGGAGAGAAGATTCCAAATAGACCATTTAGTTTAGTTAAACTAAAATACTTTATGATGGTACATGACCACGTGACCCTCTATGTGAACTCTGCGTGATCGGGACACCCTCCGTGATCATCTCCGTGAACCAAGGGGCCGAAAGAAAAGAAAGAGTTTAATTTGGACATAAATGCTATCAGATTGATGTATTGTTCGATATGAAAACTAATGTACCAACAGAGACGGATAAAACCAACTCCATAATCTTGACCAAGACTACAACTTTCAACAGTCAAGTATCAGTTTGAATGAATATTACCTGTTCATGCATCTATAATCACTCTTGGAGTAATTGCTATGATTAGATGTTTTTTGTCATAGGCGTGATCTTGACCGTTACCCAGACGACAGAAGAGATCCCTACGACCGCGCCCTTCCTCCTCTCCCACCACGTGATCGCGACCGGGATCGTGATGTTCGTGATCGGGACCTACGTGACCCTTTACGCGATCCCCTGCGTGAGCCTATGCGTGACCACCTGCGTGACCCTCTACGTGACTCTCTGCGCGATCGTGACCCCCTTCGTGATAATCTTCGTGAACCACGGGATCGAGATCTGAGGGATGATCCTTACTACCGTGACGACCCGTATCGGCGTGACGACCCTTATCACCGAGATCCAGAGAGGGAGCGTGAGAGAGACAGGGACAGGCCCTCCTTGGACAAGGACAGAGACAGAGACGGGTATGTTAAAAAGTACACTGTTGTTGTTTCTGATTTGTATATCTAGGGTAAAAGCAATCCAAATTTCTAGAAATTATATGAATTGCTTGAAGTATGTATAGTCTTTGTCCTTAATAAAAGATAGGGTCCCTAATAAAAGATATTGATTGAGTTAACACACTACTCTAATACCGTTGTGCCAAACAGTTTGCCCTAATCATAAGCATACAGTTCTGCTTTTTGTTCAAATACACAATATATGTGTGCAATCTATGTTCTTGTCTTGAGGGGGTGCAATGCAAAGCAAAGCACAGTATTAGCTTTAAGAATGTCAAAGGTCTTCTCTTATACTGCAACAGATTAAAGGTAATACAAAGTTTTGGTATGGGGGTCATGAATTTGGTTCAAATGAACATATTGGAAGCATATACGATCCTACAATATTCAGTGATCATTGTCGCGGTCGAAATCGACTCTAAAGTTATAAAATTGTAAATAATAAACACTTTATGCTGAATAGCTCCCTCTCAAGGTCAAGATATTAATTAAGCTATAAAACAATGTTTATTGACTAAAATTGACTGATTAGCTATTCTCGTTCGGAAATTATATACCACAACTACATACTCTGAGATTTTCATGGTCGCAGCTACCATTGTACGGCCGTAGGAGCTATTTGAAATTTATCAAAATTTACCGGGAGCACCGGTAAATCTTTATATTCAATTTTTCGTAAGCAGAAGTGTTTTAGGGGCTAAAATTTCTGGTGTTTTTAATACATCCACAGGGGGATCCAAATTTATCAAATTGGTAAAGAATCACATTCACCCATTTTTCAAAATTTCCCAAAACTTTGTAATACCTTTAAGAAAGAATGAATTATTTATTGCCTGTACTATGATTTGCCTTGAAAATGTGAAATAACCTTCAATGTGCTGAATGTTTGGCGCTACTTGCTACCTTTGTGCCAAAGCATGTGTGGTTTTTTTAAATGGGAAACATACATCAAGGCTTGATACTAGCATTTTATATACTCCCCAGGGAGCGGTCAATGTGCACAAGCATGTGCAGATTTGCAATTGAATCCAATGCCGGGTTGATAATAAGTATATATAATGTAAAGCACTTATATGTAAAAGTGCGGTTAAGGACTATACAAATATGACTATTATTATTGTTATTATTTTCTTTGAGTCTAGGGCAAAATACGAGGGAGGGGAGAAGGGGGGGGGGGGGGCTCCTACTGTACCCCTGTTATCAGTGAACCCTTCATATCAACATAACCTGCATGTCCAAGATCTTTCTGAATTGTCCTAATGGGTAAGGTCTGCCTTAATAGTGAATACACACAGAAGTCCAATTTAATAATTGAGGAAACTCATTAAATGTTATAACTACTGTTGAAAATTCAAACAAGACAGAAGGTCGGATCTATGCATGTTATAGAAAGATCTTTAAACGACCGTTCCTGATTCCTTCTCCTAACCCTATGATTTGGAAAGAAATATGAATTTAACATCTAGAACAACCATCATGTTAAATGGGAAACATACATCAAGGCTTGATACTAGCATGTTATATACTCCTCAGGGAGCGGTCACTGTGCACAAGCATGTGCAGATTAGCAATTGAATCCAATGCCCGGGTTGATAATAAGTATATATAATGTAAAGCACTTAAAAGTGTGGTCAAGCACTATACAAATGTGACTTTTATTACTGTTATTATTTTCTTTTGAGTCTATAGTAAAATACAAGGGAAGTGAGAAGGAGGGGGGGGGGGTCCTACTGTACCCCTGTTATCAGTGAACCCTTCATATCAACATAACCTACATGTCCAAGATCTTTCTGAATTGTCATAATGAGTAAGGTCTGCCTTAATAGTGAATACACACAGAAGTCCAATTTAATAATTGAGGAAACTCATTAAATGTTATAACTACTGTTGAAAATTCAAACAAGACAGAAGGTCGGATCTATGCATGTTATAGAGAGATCTTTAAACGTCCGTTCCTGATTCCTTCTCCTAACCCTATGATTTGGAAAGAAATATGAATTTAACATCTAGAACAACCATCATGTTCTTTTATTTTGTACATGTAATACCCTGATCTGTGACAAACCCACGTATCCAATGTCTTGTTATCCTTTGTGTTGCATGAATGTAATCGTACCACCCTTGGTATTATCCACGTAGTGTTGCTTTCAGGCGTGACCCCCACCGTGACCCCACCCGTGACCCCTACTCCAGGGAGAGGGGCGATGCACCTGTGGATCGAAGACCACCTGCCGCTGCTGCTGCTGCTGCTGCTGCTTCAGCTACCACGCCAGAGTATCTGCCGCCGGTGTTGGGCAAGCCAGTGGATTGCGAGATTCTTGTTCTGAACAAGCAACAAAGGTAAGATACCATGTCACCTTATAGTGTGGTATGGTATGTAATCCCGTAAGATTTTTATGCCAAAGTTGATTTTTGTTTTTTTGTTGCTGTTTTCGCTTCAAAAGGGTCCCAAGTGGCGAAAAATGATGGGGTTCAAATTTTCAGACCCCTCCTTCATTTCCTGGGGGGTCCCTATTGGGCGCCAAAATGGCTTATATAACGCGCAATAGGGAAATTTGGTGTCTTCGGGAAAATTTGAACCCCATCAATTTCTGATAGCTTGGACCCCAATGAATCCAAAAATCCAACAACAAAAAAAAATCAACTTCGGCATAAAAATCCTACGGGTAAAAATCCTACCGTACCACACTATTAGTTGCTGTTTATTTCATGATTCAGCTACTTATTTGTCCATTATTTGTATTAGTGGTTTTACAGTCTAGATGAGCAGATGTGTGCATAAATGCAGATCAAATTAAACAATCATGTACATTGGTGGCCCTAATAGTCGTAGGAATCTTTTGAGAAGAAAAAAAGTTGTCATTTTGTTTCAAGAAATTGCATACGGTAGTCTTTGTCATTACAGAAACATTTGTGGACATTGGTCTGACATCCATGTTTACCCAACAACTAAGCAGGGTACATTTGCAATATGGTGTGAAAGCAAAATTAGAACTTCTGAACAGCCCTTTCCCCTTTAGAATTAGTAAAATAAGATACAGACTGACACTTGTGATATTCCATTATGAATATTTTGAGTTTAACATTTATTAACTGAGCACCTGACTAGCAAAAAGTATTCTGAAAAGTGCTAATTCCGTTTTAGGTACTTTATTGCCAACTATAATTTGGAGCTCCAGGCTACTCGCTGGGCTAGTGCGCTCATGCCACATGCTTTATACATTAAATGTAGCAATTTCATGTACACGGAGGTGCGGGCACTCATTTTTGCCCTTAGAAATAGTATTAGCAGTAACTGTCAAGCAAAAGACCATAGTGCATTGGGAGCCCTCAAGGGGCAAACGCACCAGAGGGCGCCCAGCAATGACTTTCATTGACCAGTTAGAAAAGGACACCTGTCTACCAAGGCAGGAGCTCCCAAAGATCATGGAGAATAGCACTGAAATAATGGATAAAGCTCGTCTAATCAGTGCGAGTACGCTTGACCTAGTAGTAGTAGTAGCAGTAGTGCATTGTATTGGTTGACCTGAATAGCTGCCCTTTCAGTGCGGAAGCAGCAGTGATTTTACTCACCTACACCTGTATATTGTAGAACAAGTTGATAATCTGGTTTTCATGTAGAAGTTCCTTAAATGTGATTTTTTTTTTTTCCAGAGGGTATGCTGAAATGGTTGAGCGACGCCTGAAGACGCTGGGCATCTCGACTGACATGATGTTTGTTAACCCTGAGGCTTCCATCACTGCTGTCTTGGACGGAGCTACCCGCAATGGTGCCCTCTATGCTGTCATGGTGTCCAGCCAGCACGAAGTTCATCGCTCTTTAACTCTCAATATCCTCCATGGCACACCACAAGGTATGACGAAACTAGATTTTCCATCATGTATTACCCTTCAATATTCAACTCATTTATCTCTTGATGTCCATGTTGTTCATGTGTTTTGAGGGTTTGCTCACACTTCATTAGTAACGCTATGGCTTAGCATGTATTTGCGCTGTGCCAGCTCAGAGCAAAGTCGGTATATGATGCTCGATCGTTCACACACCAGCTGCCTTGCCTTGGCCGGCCTCTGGGGCCACTACCGGTACTGGTCACTACTTTAAGGTTTACTGCATGAATTCAAATTACCTGGTGAAGAAAATGAAATGATTAAATGACGCAAAAACAGATTAGAAAATATCTTTCCATTAAAAAAAAATCTGAATTAAAAATTTAAATGTGTTATGTGTCTATGAGAATGAGATGCATTGGATTGAGTGCTGTTGAAGTAGTTGATCACTGATTAAACTTGAACTTTTGCTTGTATTATCAACAAACCAATACCTGTTCAATGTATCCACACATTGTACAGCATTGGTTTTTGTTTTCTCCTCATTTTACAGTAAAAAATTATCATTCTCAATATCTGTTAGTAAAAAGATTGAAACAGAGAGAGAGAGAGGAAGAAAGATGCACAGTCTTATTCGTGATCTTGCAATTTCTTGCGATCCTGCGTGGTTTCTCTCGAATGTACATATAGTTACGTCTTGAACTCAAATAGAGAAACATGCAGTGCGAAAAAGACAAGCAAGATGGTATTAAAATAAATTAAAGGTAATCGGCAAAGAGTTGAGAGACATGCTAAAATTTTGTAGCCATTTATAAATCTGCATAAATTTTGTAGATTGAGAGAGTGAGAAAACCACATCAAATACTTGTAGATGCAAGAAATGTCTGCTTTTTTAATGTGTTATTCTATTCATGGATGTGACAACGAGATTGAAAGAGAGAGAGAGTGAGTAAGTGAAAGAGATGCATGTACGGATCCCACATAATAATCGCTTACTCACCAACTGGATATGATTTTGAAAAACACAACTTCATGTATGAAATATTGTGACTTGTGAGAAATATTGAGCAGTTACTGAAAGAAACTGATTGAAAAATGAGGATTATTGTATTTGTTCATTAGATTTTTGTCTTGGTTGATAGTGGTAGACAAACCTACAATACACCTGGAGATCATGAATGTTTGTATGACATGTGTACTTTCATTTCCTTTTGATTGAACACAAATTTATATCTCTCTTATCTTCTGTGATGTGTTTCGTTATCTTTTTTTTAGATATAGAATTTGATTTCAGAGACCGAAGCATCAGTCGTAAAGTTGGAAGGAGAAGCACATGTTCATAATTTGTCCCCCCCCCCCCCATAGCTCTCTACTTTGTTCTGTATTTGACTTGTGATTCTTGATAACATAACTATAATACATTATAATAGCATTCATCACACCTCATCTGTATATCGTGTTGTCCGTGTACCATGTACCAACCCTCATATTATGCAACATGACATATTATTTGTAAATTTTAAGTCCATTTCATTAACATGTATAAGATCGATGTCCTCTAGCTAGGTGTGTGTGTCTTCAGGAGCAGAGCATGACAACATTACTGCATAGGAGCCAGGAGTATGTTAGGACTGCACATATCAATTATCTACTTTCAGCATGCAATGTACATGTACTGCACAATGAGACTATTTGAGATTGATGATATGAAGTGATGTGGTTCTGTATTTGATCATTGTTGGATAGATTGTGTGGTTTTAGTGTGTAGCTACGGACTGTAGAAAATGAGAGATTATGTTTTTTCTGTAAAATGGAGTTCTTTCTGGCTCTTCTGATTGGGTGAGTTACAGTGTATGTATGATGCAAATCTTCTGAAAAGTGAGCATATTTTCAGTCTTGACTTATGTCTTTGTGGGATGCAGAGAGGTGTTACATGTGCATGCATGTTCTCTGATTGAAACGTTCAGGCTGTACAATTGCGTTTAATTGAAATGAGAATTTGAGAAACATGAGGTTCTCTGTCTTTGAAAGTGAAGCCCTCTCTGATGGAATGTATGTGTTGTTGTCGATTTTTCTTTAGTGATTCTATGCGAATATATTTGGAATTTGAGGTCATTAGATTTTGTATTTGACAACTTGGGATGAGACTGAGATACACATTTATTTATATATGTCTGCTATTAAAGTGAAGCTCTTTCTGGTTGTACCATTGTGCCAGCTGGATGAATCACTTATACCTCAGTCACACCGTCAAACTAACTCAAAAACCGATTCCAAATTAACCGACCTGACTCTTGTCTGTCTGGGGTCGTTGTTGGGTTGGTCCGGGGTCAGTTTTGTCGGTGTGACTGGGTTATAAATAAGAATGGTGTGTGCATCTGTGTAAAAGTTTTTGAATGGTGCCCTCTCAGTTTGTATACTGCGTGAGTGGTGATGCAGATTGTGGTTCCATGATTTGTTGACAGTGTGTTAGTGTATGCGAACAAGTCTATTTGAAGAAGTGCGTATGTAGAATGCAAAAATTATTTATTTAAATGATGCTACATATAATGTTAATGGAAACGCTTAGCAATTTCTCTATTTTTGTTGTTCAAATTTTACTTTAGAGTATAACTACATACATGTAGTAATGATCATCAGTGTGTGTTCTTTTTCCCTCTTATATACTGGATTTTCTCCTACCTGCTGAAAATATACAGTACATCTATCACAATTTTTACAATGTTTTTGTCGTATGTTGTAGTTTTATAACATGAATTGAAATATCTTCATTGGATCTTTACCTATTTCACTTCTCCTTTAGGCTAGGTGCTGGATATGAGACTCATCTTGGGTGTGTTTGTATCTTCTTTTTAAAATGCAACATTACATTGAATGCATTCTTTCATTATCGGTATTCAAAAATGTTTTCCTTTTTAGGTAGACATTTTGGAAAAAGTAAGAGAACCACATTCAATTCAATTCAATTCAATTCAGTTTATTAAATTCCAATAAAATTTACAAAACAGGAGAGTGAGAAAGAGAGAGAGAAAAAGGAAGAAGAGAAGATGAGCAAACATGTTTTAGAGAATTGATTTGTGCATTTTATTGTGTCTTTGTTTATTTATACTTTTTGTAATTCCATTGGATGATGAAAGTAGTGATTTCACTTGTATAACATTGGGTAATGATTTCCCCTGAAAATGTTTGTTTTGTTTTATGTTAGTTACAATTCTTGTTTATATATTTATTTGTTGATTTTATTTTATTATTTATTTATTTTTTAAAAACTGCAACAATTCATGTAGAAAATCAGTCTTTATTCCATTTGTCAAATAACATGAACTATTAGCTTACTAGCTCTCTATTTCCAAAAGTAAATCAACTTGAGCGGGGTATCAGTATGCACTGTAGGTTTTGTATATATTAGCAATTTGTATACTGTCCCAATACCTTAGATCAGGGCCATATTTATAAAAATTTGTCAATTATTATGGTAGAATGCTAACATATGGTACGGTTAATATGCAATTGATTTTGTTGATGCCTATTGTATTAAAGTATCCCAGGTGAATGATTGGACATATTTCTAAAATAACCTGATAATAAAATGAATACATAATTATGTTTATAATGTAATCCTGGCTCTGTAATTATTGAAGTGATTCCCTAGTCTGCTCCATTTCCTTTCTTCATTTTCCCCCTGTTAATTCAAAAGAGAGGTGCCTTTTAGATATAACGTAGAAATAGATTTACACTGCAGTGTGGAGGCTGGATAATACAAGTATGGATACGCTTGGACTGACTACACACGTGGTTCTAGGGCTTCTCTTCTCATCACGTTCACAGAATATTGTGTCTATCGTTATTCCATGTACCAAAAAAATAATATATAACGTCTCAAATCAATCTTATGTTGGAGAGCAGAACAAACATGTCCCAATCTCTTTTCCCACTAACCTTCCCCCACATGTACAATTTCTCTACAATTTTAGAACACAGGAACATGCCCCTTGAAGATGCCATGAACCTTGTTACCCGCAACTACGATCGCTACATCCTGGAGCTGCGAGAAAAGCGTGGCCTGGTGGCCTCTGGCGAAACCACAGCCAAAGTGGGCGCTGATGGCCAGTCGGCAGCAACAGAGCTGACCCTTACACAGTTGTTCAGCTTGCTGGCCGATGGTCGTCAGCTGACCCTGGCTGAGGTTGACCGGGTCATCACGTTCCTGGAGGAGATGCGTAACCGTATGGCTGAAGATCAGGGACTTTCCCTCAGAAAGAAAGAATATCCAGGTACGATGAAATATTTGTTTTTGCATTGACTTTGTAAATCACCATTTCCTTAGAGAAATCACTGTGTGTACCCGTAAGCTATGAAATGATAATGAAATAATCTTCTATCTTGAAAGAGTAAACAAATGTGATGCAATTAAGATTCAATATAATTCTTTTTCATTCACTTCCATTTTGAAATCTGTAATGTTTTTCAATATTGTACCTGACCTCTGTGATTTCTCTTTCTCAGGTTAATGCATGTTTCTTTGTATTTTTTTTTATAATTTAGCTGCTTCTGCTGCTAAACCAGCAGATAGCACTCCAAAACAAGAGGACTTGCAAGCCAAAATCTTGAGTTTAATTGGGTCCAATGTGTCTCCTGCATCTGTAGCAGCTGCTGTTTCCAAGGTGACCTCTGTGTCATCATCTCCTGTGATCCCATCGCAGTCCCCCAGGCAAGTCCCAATGTCCACCCCAACCCAACAAAACATGGGCCTGCTTGCCACCCCAAACTCCCAGTCCAACCTTCCTCAGTCACTGATGAATCGAGGCAGGCCTACTCAGAGCGCCCTTCCAGTCGCCCAACCTCCTGCCAGGACTGTTGCAGCAGCTGCTAAGCCACTCAATCTGGACAACCCGACTGTCAAGAAGGCTCTGGACAACCTCATCCAGACCGGACCTAACCTCTTGCGTGGAATCAGTGCACCCCAGCCCGCTGCACTGGTTGTCCAGCCCCCTGCTACGGCCATGTCTGGGGCAAGAGGTGCCCATCAAGCAGCCCAGGTGAACCCCAACATGATGACCGAGGAGCAGATTGCCCGGGCACAGGCCGAAGCCATTCACAAAATGCACCAACTCACTGCACCAGCGCCTCAGCACATGCAGCAGAATATCCAGATGGCCGGTGCGGCTAGCCTCATGGCTGCTGGTATCAACCCAAACAACCTTGGTCCTGGCGGAATGACTGCTCAGCAGCTTCAGGCCCTCCAGGCCCATAGTATGGCCTACAGCATGAGGGGACAGCCCCCTCCACCTCCTGTTGGCCCACCCCCTGGACGTCACATGTATTAAGCTGTCCATGTCCCTAAACGACACATGTATGAAAATGGCGTTATAGGGGCTTGCAGTCGCTATCATAGCAAGCTTCTACAATTATCTACCAATCTTGTAAAGTAATTTTCGTTAGATATGTTGTATATACTCTTTTTTACTATTGTATGTCCGAAATAAGGGGACCTGAGCTTTGTTTAGTTAATGTCAGTTCCTACGGCAGTTACAAAGCATTCAATCACTTAATGGATATTGATAGTGCTTATTCTGGAAGAGCATCATTTATATCAATATTGATTTGATAAACAAATCATTATGTTGAACATTACATTTTTGTTTTGGTATGCTCAAATGAGGTCATGCTTCATCATGTATTAGTGACTTGTTTTCCATCAATGTTTTCAAATGTAAAAAGACAGCCATCAGTTGGTTGTCCATTATATCCATGTTCAACCCTTATTTCCTCTAGGGTTTGTGCTTCTGTAAATAGAGCCATTTTATATGAAAACTTAGCTTTTCCTCAATTAAGAAAGCCACGAGTAATGCCCAGTGTCATGCTATTCTGCACAAAGTCTCAATTCATAATCAGCTCACAATGAGAGGAACGTTTCATCACTTTGCAAGATAATGGTGAATAAATACTCCACAAGTTTTGAGAAACCTCACTTAAAAGAGATTCCTGCTAAACCGACAGGCTACAAAAGTTGTGTACAATATATGATTATGACATGATTGACATCATTTATTATGTTACTGTGATTTAGTGCATTATGTACTATTAGCTGAAACCCATATATTTCCATTATGATATTGTGTGGAAATTCTATAGAGAGCTGGCACATCAATTGTAAACAAATTACGAGATCAATGTTAAAATGTTAAAATTTGCATAGATGTGCTATTTTTGCCCCAGTTGTCAAGTAGGGCCCAGATTTAACTGTACTCTTAGAGGAGCTATTGAAAATTGATTATGTGTACATGTATTTAATGTTTCCTCTGAATTCGCTTTTTATAATGGAAAATGATTACACTTAAACTTCTTTGTGCTTTCTATAAGAGTATTGTGATGTTAAGATATCAAGGTAATTTTGACCCCCCCCCCTAAAAAAAAAGACCCAAGAGAATATTGGTGTTCAAATTCACCTTTAAAATGATAAACATTTCAAGAAATGCAATTTTCGAGAATTCACTAGACTAATCACCAACTCTTTTAGTAACGATTAACGATTTATTGTGTGTATTGTCAAAATCACTTCCCTGTTGATGTTATGTGGCGTTAATAAAGTTCCTTCTTAAACTATTTGCCAAACTGATCATTGTTCTTATCTTGTGAATGTGAATATAAATTGATCTTTGCGTGTTTGTTATTTGAGATGTTTTAGCTGTGGTAATCAGTTTGATGGTGTGGTTGGTAATAATTAGGTAGTTATGGCATGAAGCTTAAGTCAATAACATCTCGTCACTGAATAGTTGGTATACATTCTATAAAAATGTAAAATGTTTTAAAAAACAGCGAGGAATACACATCGTCTACATACACACGTATCGTATACAAATCGTTTCCGTGACAAAGTTTCTCCAGTTGGATATTTCATTCTTAAAAATAAGTTCAGTCAGTTACCGCGAAATGTTTGCTGCCCAGAGAACGCAATCGAGTATAGAAAGCGGCTTCATGCAGACATGTTCATGTGCTGAACTATACGTCAAGAAATCGCGCTTGCTCGTAAGCCGAATCGAAATGCCTCGTCACAAAGCTCGAAATAACCAAACTAGTAACGTACATTTTGAGCATGGAATAAGAAAGTAGCGATGATGACAGGCGACGGTGCATCTTCTCTTCCAATTCCATCATTTGTCATTTATTACCTTTTGTATTTTTTTTCCTCGATATTTGCAATGGTTTCATAATGTTTCATTCTACTGTTCATGATTGTTTATCACCAGAATATCACGCTTCATTTATAATTTTGAGACATGTTAAAAATGATAAAAATGCATTTCGCTTGTCATTGCAGTGTTTTAGTTTTTAAGTGTCAATAGCAGTTAGTGCTCCGCAAACAAAAGATTTTCGACAGATTTTCATTTCTCTTGCTTTACTCATTGTATTGACTTAAATTGAGAGGATGTGTACATCACTCATCCGATTTTGCATATAGTACCGGCACGAAAAATTAGCGCTGTGTATCCGCATTTTTTAATTGTATATACTCAAGGATGAAAAATATAGGACTTTGCTGGCGAATGGCAAAGTTGTTTACCCAAGTTTATTTGAAGAAAAAAAAATCGATACAATCGGAGCTTGTAACGAAGCGTTCATTTAGCGAAATTCACGACAAGTTTAGAGTGTTACCTGTAGTGAAGCCGTGATCGACTAGAGAGCTTCGTCATGTAAAATAATAGACGCCTGTGCGCTCCCTGATATGATTTAATGAGCTTTTCGTTGGCGGGGTCGTCGTTAATGAACATGATAACCGTTGGCAAAGCTGTGTGCTAGGTACATACAACGTATTCGCGAAAACTGCCGCTTCAGAACATACCGACATTTAATGTTGCGACATAAAGGCTTATATAATATATATGTACATTATATTGGTCATATATTTTGGACGCTGCCCTCATTATGTCATGTTGCGCGCTTTGAGCGTTGTCACGGAAGAATTGAAAACATTTGTTCTGAATAAACTGTCTTAAAAACATTGATATGGAAGTTTGTCTACTGCAGTTTCTATTGGAATGATGCTCAACTGCGCATTACACCCCCCCCCCCCCACCTCTAAGCTATCACTGTTCTGCACCTGGGTAAAGCGAAACAAAATATAGATTAATGTTCTTGACGGAGGACATAGGCGCCGAAGCTTGGATTCGAACCGGGATCATTTGATCCATTGTGCGTTTACATACCCTCAATACCTCATCACTTGGTTTTCGGTTGCAACCGTAAAAAAACTCTTTCTTCTTCTTCTGTGATGCAGGTTACGTAGAAATCGCTTTCTTCTTATCGCCAGAGGATTGCTGCACACTACACTATCGCACTTATTGCAGACAGCGCAGAATTATCATGCTCGAATTCAAAATATTTTGAATAATTAAACGCAAATTCGAATATAAAGCTACAGCGTGTCGAGTTTCGTGTTGAAACAAAAAAATCATCTTCGGCAAACATTTCACGGTAACTGACTGACTAATGTTCTTCTTCGTCATTGCTCTTCAATACGTTTCGTGCATATATTTTACGATTTTCGGTACTAAATTCCCAGGAACATCATGAATGCGACACTATATTCCGCAATTTGAGCTCGATATCCATTCACATCAACCAAATATCAACTTCTCAATCGCGCCAAAAACCTTCCATTTGAACAACTTTATATTCGTTTAATTCATTTAAATAGAATAAGTTTATTTCGTATAAACGCATGAAAATATTAAAAAGGTCTATTTGTTTTTATCAATCAACTTCAATACGACAATATAGATGTTCGTGTTTGTGATGGTGGTGATTTCGATGATGTGGTGGTGGTGAATTTAAAGATAAAGATGACGGTGATGATGATGATGATGATGATGTAGCTAATGAAGTGGTCATAAAGATGATGGTGATGGTAACACAATGGTGGTCGTGAAATGAAGATGACGGTGATGGTGGAGGTGATGTTAAAGATGGAAGTGGGGATAGGTAGTTTTAACGATAGTGATGATAATGATGGTGGTGATGATGGGGAGATGATTTTGATAGAGACGAGAGAGAGAAGGAGAGAGAGAGAGAGAGAGAGAACCAGAGAGGTGTGGTGTTAGTATTTGGACCCCTATTTTGTTATATTTCAAATTTTGTAATTCAAAAACGGTTATAAAAATGTTCAGCTGAACATTTCGATTTCATTGATGTTGATGGTGAAAAGGGGAAATGGGAGAAAGAGGTAGGGGGAAGGGAATTCGAGTAAGAGTTATTATTTTGAACAATTGCTGTTTCTTTGTTTCTTGTTCACTTCACACTGGTACGTTTGGTTTTTAATTTAATTTAAAAAAAAATCAAACCACCCTTTTTCTTATCCTTTTTCTTTTTAATTAATCTACTTCAGCCTAAATATGAATTAAAAAATTGAGTTTACTTGAGGCATTAAAGAGATTTGCAAATATGTTTTGCATTTTAATATTGCTTTACCAAATAACTTGAATACACCTGTCTAAAATTTATTTAAAGGTAAAGACCAGTATTGGAAACGCCCCAATTTCAAAAAATGAAATGGAAGCTCTCATTACCAATCATGTGAAAGAATATGTTTTGACATGATGATAAAAAAATTGCCGGAAAACCGCCTACTAATTCATATATTTGGTAAATTTGTTTCTCTCATGGTCTGTGAGAGATATAGGGTAGTCCCATATGCATCTTTCTGTGTATAGTGCTTGTAACTTTACGAAGAATGGGCCAAATTTCTTATCATTTTGATGATTCCAGAACCTTGCAGATGCTAGATGCTAGATGATCAACCTTTTCTGATCGATTCCACAACGTTTCTTTCACAATGCAATCGCATGACCATAACTGGTCTTTACCTTTAACAAAACATCAGAAAGGGAGATACTTTTTTCATGCGCTCTCGTTTACCTCCAATTTGGAGAGGTTCAGAAGTGCAAGTGGTAACATCAAGTAGGGCAAAAATTATTAAAGAAAATAAACTGTGAAGGAACAGGTGTCCTAAAGCTCCAATATCATTAACTCCTCTCAGATATTTCTGATTTTTAGGTATGTGTTTGAAGAGAGAAAAAAATCCCACTGACAACTAGAAATAAATGAATTAGCTCTAAGGTAATAACAACCAAATCGGATGCGAAGGCCTTGCGTGCAGTCTTAGTGTGACATGCTGTAACTTTCTAGAGCAAATGTTTTTTGTTTTGATTTCGTTGCCATCCATCCGACGAGAGATGTGTAACTCAAGTGCAGCCCCCTGGTTTCCAACCAGCCCATCCCGCTAAGAGATGTATGTCGTACCAAAAGGGTGTCCCGGTGTTCTGTTTGGATCCAAATAGATAGAAATAACCTTGTAGAAAAATTACAAACCGACTGATAATAGCGATTGGGTTTCAAGAGGCATGGCATCAGAATCCATTCCGTCGTGACATGGATGAAGTTGTGATCGACCCCACGCACGAAGTGGTTCATTCAAGTGCGCAACGCAGCGGGACCGCCGCTTGTTCTTTGTCGTCCAGAGATTGCGGAACATTGTCAACCCTCAAAGACCCTTTGGTCACGTACTATTGTGGGCGAATGGAGCGGGGAAGACGAGAGGAAAGGTTTGGGAATAATTAGGCATGATCAGAGGCGACATATTTCAAGGCGTGCCTCGAAACGTCTGCATACCTGCTAACGTAAGGCAGTGGTGCCGACAGTACTGAAGGGGTGAAAGATGGTTTGATACCCAAGGATATACAAGGATACAAGGATATGTATGTTTACTTCAGATGAGCAACCAACCCATAGGTAGAGTAAATAAATGATGCCTTGGAAGTCAAATTGATTCTTGAGCAGAGATGGCGGTTAGAGATACCAAATAGTTAGGCACGTCAAGTAATACTTATTTATGAAAGAAACATAGTATTATGTCAACACATTGTTTTTCCTCATCGACATTTCTGAATTAGTTTTTCGAAAAACGAAATAAATAAATGTAAGATCAATAAAGTGCTAGTACTAGGCCTATAATATGTCACTGAATAATGCTTTCAGCATGAAGCTATTATAAATGTATTTCATTGTCTTTGAAGAACGGAAATATAAACCATAATCACCTCTGTAAAGCTTATAACCAACTGTTGGTCCAATCAACTGGGGAGAAATTGTCGTAGAGAAATAAGAGTAACTTGATTGGGAATGAGGTCAGGCGATAGTGGGAATAAATTTCAAGATTACATCCGAGCTGGAGTGTGCTCTTCAAAAAATGTCTTGATTGTCGTTGCTCGGTTGGGCGTTATTAACTTCTAATGATATACCGAGGCCGGATACCACCTGATCGGGTTCCAGAGGGGTGTAGATCTGCACCCCGCCGCCCCTGGTGTCAGAGTGAATTTGACGACTCACTGAGCAGGTATGGTCAGCATCCGAGTCGTGGTCAGTACATCGGTCGGACGAGAAGATGGTTGCCGGGAAAATATGTGGGAAACCGCGAAACAAAGTATTGGCAGATACTTTTGTACAGTGTACTAGTATAGTTATTTTGACCCTTGTTTACCCCCTCCCCTTCTTTCTCCTTCCTGCTTTCTTTCTTACTCCCTCCCCATCTATAAACACGCCTTTCGTAT